TTTCCGATACCCCTTGGTGCCCACCACTATGATGTGTGCACAGTGACATACTGATTCAATTTGGAAAACAGGTTCCATTCCCCACCTACCCAAGCCACAGCAGGGTCCTTATTCGCTGGTGGGCAGCCTGGCTTGGGAAGCTGCGCTGCTTCTCCTGGACATTAGGACCAACCCCTGGGTCCTACTTACACACTTTCCTCGGAGACAGCCCCATGGGGTCTTGACAGCTAGAAACCCTTATTAGTGATCTTTACAGATCCTGAGTCCTCAGGCCAGACTAGTTGAGCGACCACCTACTTCTGGATGTGGGGAGGGCTGTTGGATGGAATCTGCTAGTCCCAGGCAGTGGATTTTTTGAATCACTCCCGGTTTACAATGTCTAGCTGTTTCTTGAAGAGTAGAGCAGCAAACTAAGAAGGGAACTGGTTTTTTGAGAATCCAGATGAGCTGAGATTAAATAGATAAGGTTGCCTTAGAATAAAGGGGACCAAAGTCAGACAAGCCTTGTCATTGTGTCCTCTTCCTCCTCCCTAGGCCACCTCAGAGATGGCATTGCCCTGTGCAAGCAGTCTCCCACTGGCCACACCAATAGCCTCCTCCTCTGTCTCTGCCACATCTTCCTAACTGCTGCCTGGACTGGTGCAGTAGACCACCAGCCTACACATAGCTTCTGGGCTTTTCTCTTACAACCCATCACCCAGGGGCTTGCCCATGCACAGAAAGGAAGGAAACTCTCAGCCTGGAGCCTTTCTTTTAATTGTCTTCAGGCCCATCCCTTCTATCTGTCTGATCTTGCAATCCTCACACTGGCCCTAAGTCATAACAGCTATAGCAGACTCTTGTATGGCACTTGCTGTAGATAGTCTTTGTTCTGAGTGCTGTACATACACTCACTTATTTGATCCAACCCACAACTCTTTGAAGGAGGGGCTTTACAATCCCCATTTTACAGATGCAGCAATTAAGACACAGTGAGATCAAGTAACTTTCCTGATGTGACACATGTGCTAAGGGAGGTATGCACATCAATAGATTTCAGCCTGCTCTCTCCCCTCCCCTGCGTGTTCCCTTCTTCGCTGTCCCCTGATAGTCACCCCAGGGGCTGACTCAGCCCCTGCTCCTGGCTCCAGAAGGTGATAAGCCTCCTCCAACCCCAGCCTTGCTTACCTTCTACAACCCAACCCTAGGAGCTCCATCCCACTCTTGGGGAGCCCCAGGCCCCATGGAAGTAGTCTTGGCTGGGCTCCAGGGGGATGGGGCCATGTGTGATTCGTCCTTTCAAACAGTGGAGCTTCCTGCAGGGCTGACAGCCAGGAGGCCCCACGAGGCAGCTCAAGCCCAGCCACGTGAGGCTCCCTCCCCTCCTGCTGCCCCAGCCCTGCTGACTCAGAGCCTGGCTGCCACTGCAGGCGCACCACCCCCTCCCAGGGGTGTGTGCTGATGCAGGCGAGGTGGGGCAGAGGCAGCCCTAGCAGCATACTGCCTGGCACCCACACAAATTCCTGTGTGGGTTGGGTGGGAATACTTCTTACCTTCTGTCCCATAACCAGCTGTCTTCTTTGAACAATTGATTGTGAACAAGTCTACATCCTGCAGCGTTCTCTCAAGGCATGACTTTCCTGGCTGTAGAACGGCAACTTCACCATTACTCAACTTCCCTCTCCTGATTGTTTCCAGATTCCACGAGGCTGTGGACCTCCTTGTCTAAATATCCCTCCTTTCTGTACCAACAGTTTTATTGTCACTGGAAAATGGGTCCTATGTGTTCAATTCCAAGGATGAAGACCTGGTAAATATCCCAAGTTTTCTAGGTGGCTGTGAGCTGTTGTCAGTGGACAGACTCAAGCCAATAACATACAGCCAATTAACTACAAAGAGTCACTTTAACTTTTTAAAGAATCTGACCTGAGGAGAAAATTAAGACCATTACTTCAATATAGGAGAGTTGGGAAAACTCTGGGAAAAACAAGCTGGGTTTATAATGCTTGAAACCTTGCTGCTGCTATGCCACAACGTGTAGGTTCAGCACTTCACAGAGCCCTTTGTTCTAAACAACAATCACATTTCCTGGCTAAGAGAGAGAAATTAAAATTCACCAATTTTTTAAAGGCTTTATTTCTTTATTTATTCATGAGAGAGAGAGGCAGAGACCTAGGCAGAGGGAGAAGCGGGCTCCCTGCAAGGATCCCAATGCAGGACTCGATCCCGGACCTCGGGATCACACTCTGAGCCAAAGGCAGATACCCAAGCACTGAGCCACCCAGATGTCCCAAAATTCACCAATTTTGAAGAGTATATGGAGCACCAGAACTCTCAGACTCTGCTCGTGGGAAGGTAATATTATAGCAACCATGTGGAAAACACTAAAGCTGCACGGAACGCATCTCGACCCAGCAATTCCACTCCTGAGTATATTCCCAATACCATTTGAGATCACCCCAAAGAATCTAGTGAGGGCAGAATGAAAATGTTCCATATCCTGGTGGTGGCGATGGTGGTTACACAACTGCATCCATTTGTCACAACTCAGAACTGAACCAGATGCTCAAATGGGTGAATTCTACTGCATATAAATTGTATCTTAATTTTTTAATTGAAAACTGGAAGAAAAAAATATAAAATGAATAATTCAATTTAGGAGTGTATTCATATGATGAAATACTATACAACAATGAAAAGAACAAAGCACTGCAAAGGAAAGATAAACGAATCTCAAAATCTGAAAGAAGCCAGACATAAAACTATGAACTGTAGGATTTTGTGTATACAAAGCTCAAGAATAGGAGAAACGAATCTACCATGATAGAGGTGAGAATACTGGGGGACCCTTGGAGTGAGGGAACACAAGAGACCCCTGTGGGATTCTAGAAAGGTCTTGTATCTTGAGCTGTGTGGTATGCTCAAGGGGGTCTCAAGGGATCATTGGGTCTATGCTCTATGCTTAAACATGTGTGCCCTTGAGGAAATGTTGATTATTCTTTAATTTAAAAAGAAAACATTTTTAAAAATTGATATTGCAAGTGACCCAGTGAGGGACACCTGGGTGGCTCAGTGGTTGAGCATCTGCCTTTGGCTCAGGGCGTGATCCCGGGATCCTGGGATTGAGTCCCACATCGGGCTCCTCATGGGGAGCCTGCTTCTCTATCTGCCTATGTCTCCATCTCTCTCTTTTCTCTCAAGAATAAATAAAATCTTTAAAAAAAAAAAAAACAAAAAACAAGTGACCCAGTGAGCAATTCAGATGTCCAGATCTCACCAGAGCCCACTGACTTGGCCAGTCCTGGCCCCATGAAGCTCTTTAACCATGGAAGCAGACTGCACCCAGGCTGGAATTCCTGCCCCGCCCTGGCTCAAGCAAAACAACCTTTAAAACTGGCCAACAGCCCAGGATTTTAAACCACTTCCTTGCCTGATCTGCTCCCCTTTATGAGCATCCAGGAAGAAAGTTACGGCTCTTGCTGGGGAGGAGGAGGGATTGGAACTCCTCTGCCCCATCTCCTGGACTTCCCAGGAGTAGATGGATGGGGTCCTGACCTGAGTTGGAGGGACAAACCTCTGGCATTCCCTTTACCAGGCTCAGGCCCACTCCCCTCAGGGTATATGTCAGCACCAGGACCCTCTCTGGAGAAAGTTTTGTTTCCTGGGTTGACCAAGGCCCCCTCCCTGCCTCCTTCTCTTCCCTTGCAAAATGAGCTATATACCTACCTGGTAAGCTTAGGAGACAATAGGTAAATGTCTGGAACAGTATAAATGCCTTGTGACCACAGTTATGATTCTGATGGTGTGATATGAAGGGAACAGATGTAGCCTTGAATGTCAGCACCTGGCACACAGCCTGGGCATTGTTAGACACTCAGCACCCATTGCTCTCTTCTCCCCATGTGGCCTGATCCTGACCCATGGAGTGGAAAGAGGACACTCAGAGTAGAAGCAAGGCAGCCTAACTCCACCCTGTTGGCTGCGACCAAGGAGTAGGAGAATCCTGGGCAGCTGAAATGCCTGCTCAACGTGTATCTGCTTGTCACTTGGGGGCAAGCGTATGTCCTCTCTGGGCATCCCACAGCCTTCCTCCTCCGTATAACCAGGAAGGAGGGAGTGGGGCTTCCTGAGACCATCTAAGCCGAGTGGAGCTGGCAAATCTCAGTATGACAGTGCCCAGGGCTGGGGGCGGGAGGGAAGGAGATTCAGTCTTTGGGCATAAGAATCTTGGGCGGGGGGTAAAGCTAGAGATAGGGCAAGCATCATTTAGACTCAGCCTGGGAATCTGGAGTCCCTTGTTGCCCTAACAGGAAATGTCTTTCATTTTCCCATCTGCAAAATGAAGTGAATCATCATTGGCACTACCTAGTCAGAAGGTAGGTGGACTTTTGACAGAAGTGGTAATGATGCCCAGCATGTTTGCACTCTTATCAGGAAGTACCTCAGTTGTACATGTGCGAAGGAGGCCCTACCACCAGACTCACATTTGGGGGCAGAGGTCACCTGCAGTGGTATTCTGAGGAAATCTCCTGAGGTACTAGGTTTGGGCTTGGGACCGGTTCTCCTGGATCAGCCCTCTCTTGATCTTGAACTCGGCATCTCCTAGGTGGTGGAACCTCTCTGCTGGGTGCTGGGGATACAGAGAGGAAAGTCATTTCTCTGACACGGCAGGAAGGCTCCTGGGAGGAGGTGACATTTGAAATTGAGTCTCAAAGGAGGAATAACAGATGGGGGAGAACATTCCTGATGATGCAACAGATGCAAAGGAAGGCAATGCAAAGAGCAAAGTATGGGTATTTGAGTCAAGAGATGAGGAATGGGGCTGGGGAGGGCCCAGGTCCTAAAGGGCCCTGCCAGGAGTCTTCTAAGTTTATCCTGGGGCCAGTGGAGAGTCACTAACAATTCTTGAGCAGTGACAGGGTCATTTTGGCCCCCTTCGTACATTTTAGGAAAGGGGAGTTCAGAGGTGCTGGAGTAGCTGCATGATGGATAGGAGAGGCTGCGTTGGGGGCAAGAACATGAGGCCACCTCCACAGGCGTCTTCTGGCCTTCAACCCTATCCCACCCTCATGGTCTGCCAAGTTCTGGTCAAAGGCCCACAGGACATGATGCCAGTTATGTAGCTTGCTCAGTGCTTTATTGAACCAAGGCGCAAACAGATGAATCAACAGGGCCTTGAAGCACAGCCCTCCACACATCCTGAGATTCGGAATCCAGATGTGGCTACATCCTTGGTTTCATTGCTTCCATGACATTTTGTCTTGAATATTTCCAAACCTTAAAATATGAAGATTTCGTCCACACAAACAGACATGTATATTCTTGCCGCAGGCTGTCATGCTCACTGAAATGCTTCCATTCAGCAGTTTGTGTGTGTGAGACATTGGGCATCCGTGGCCATCCATCCAGCCATCCATCCATCATCCATCCATTCAACCATCTGTCCCTCCACAACAAGACAGCAGCGAGTTCTGACAAGTCAGGCCCTGGGGTTCACAGCAGTGGGGGCTGGGCTGCCGGGGGCTGAGGATGTAGGCCTTAGCCCTCCCCCAAAGGCCCCTGAGGAGGACATCCCTTTCTGAGGCAACGGAAGCCAGGGTCAAAATGGCTAATGAATGTTTGGAGTCTCTAACCCCAAGTGGATAGAGGAACCTAAACATCAGCCTATGCATACCCTGAGATGGGCAAAAGATCAGACAAACAAATCAAACATGTAGGTAACACTGAAACAGGAAAGAGTAAGAGCTTCTGTTTGTGCTAGAGGTGTTCATGTGGAAGGACAGGAGAGAGAGAGGAAGAGAAAGGAAACATGGCAGACACAACTAGGAGTGCCAACTCCCGGGCCAGGGACGAGGTCTGCTTTGGCCCATCCCTGCGGGGCTGTGGCATTTCTCCAGCCACATACAAACAAAGCCCCTAGGAAAGAGGGGGCTTTTCTGGACACAAGAAGACAAAGGGCTAACTCAAGGAAGGAAAAAAAAAAAGCAAAAAGTTTCCACTGGACACAAAATACTTCCTTTGAGCTAGACTTAATCCAATTTCACAAAGTCAACAGACTGGGCTCTTCCAGGGGCAGGGCTGTCCTGGGCTGGGCTGGGCTGAGGTGAGGTGAGGTGAGGTGGGGCAGGGTGGGGTGGGGTGAGGGTGGCATGAAGATATGGAATATGATTAAAGTAAGACATAGGGATTAGGGCTGGGGGCAGACAGGACACCCTCACTGTCCTGCCCCTGGATGGCACCTGGGGCCTCCAGCAGACCCTCGGGCTCCTGGGTGGCTGGCACACAGGCAGTGAGGCAAAGAAGATAGGCAGGACTGGCACTGGCCCTTCACTGGTCCTGCAGGCGGCTACAGAGCTCCCGCCGGCTCCGCTCCCCTGCCCAGCTGCGAGTTTTGAGGCGGAAGGTCTTCAGCTCATCCTTGAAGGCTTCATGGTTCATAGGCCGGTAGTCCTGGGGCTCACAAAAAGTCTAAAGCAGGATGGGAGTGCCAGTCAATACAGCGGAATGGGAACTCTGGAAAGAAACCTCCCTTCTCCCTGGGCTACCTGCTAGCTGGGCCCTTTCCCGCAGCCCGGCCCTCCCATGAAGGCTTCAGCCACCCTGACCCATGGTACCGGGTACTGTGGGAAGAACTCCTTATAGCCGCCCTTAAGGATATACATCTCAGGGTAGTAGAGGCTGGGGTAGTCATTGGCGGTTCTGTCACGTTCCCTGATGAAACGGCACCTGGGACCAGCAGGGATGTGGGAGTCAGAACTGGGTGTGCGGCAGGATATACCTCGGGAGACCTGTTCATTGCACCCACAACTCTGTGGGCCTTGGGGAGCCACAAAAGGCTTGAATGCAGGAATGTCAGCCATAAGAATGTTTTAGATCATTTAGAACATTTTTGGGTCCAGAAGAGGTTGGGGAGATGAGGAGGTAGATCAAAGGAGTTGTTTCTAGAAGGCAATTCACAATCTTTGTGAGATATAACAGACCTGGACAGATAAAGAAGAAGCATAAAGGAGAGAAGTGGATACAATTTGAGAGATCTGGACAAGACTTAGTGAGCATGAGAGGTGGGGAGCAGAAAGATCAGTCAAACCCTGGAAGGGCCAGCATCACCAAGGACTGGGACTGGGTCCTTGGGTATTAAGAACACTGCTGGAGACCTAGAACCAGATTTTGGGTGGTGACAATGGATAAAGGTGGACATAAGGCCTGATGAGAAGGATGGGGAGAGGGAGGTGGGAAGAGTGTGCCATGCATAGGAAGGTAGGGTGAGTTCTGTTCCAAGGTGCCAGGAGACTAGGCCCAGGTCTAGGAGGGGCTGAAACATAACTTAGGCCTCTTGGGTACCAGATGGCTCCAGCACCCAAAAGCCGGCAGGGAAGGTCAGGAGCAGATACTAGCTAGCTGACTCACATGCGGGGACCACGCTCAGATGAGAATTCACAGTGGAAAATGAGGATGATTCTCTTGTCCAGATTACAGGGTGTGATGGGGCTCTGTAGCAGGAAGGTCTCAGCGTCCCTTTCCAGGGGCAGGTTCACGGCAGTCTGCCAGAGGAGTTAGAGGTCAGACCACAGCCCTGGGGCTGAGTGGCAGGTCCCTCCTTTGCAATCCCCAACTTTCAAACAGGTGATTCCACCTCTTACTAGACAGGATCTTTCCCCTATGAGAGGGTGCAGCCACCCTCCACTGATTCACCCTCCCCACAGAAGAAGGATAGAGCAGATGGATCTTCAGGGCCTGTCCCCATCAGCCCACCTCACCTTGATGTGCCCGCCTTCATACTCGTAGGGATACCTGCAGTCCACAATCACAAACCTCTCCACGATGTTGCTGAACTTGCCTGCCAGCAGGGCTGCCATCTGTGGGCCACAGAGGTGGGTCCTGGCAAGTCAGGCTGGCAGGAAGGGGCTGACCTCAACCCTACCACCAATTTGACTATGCAGCCCATCCCCCCAAGGAAGGTTAACAGGCAAACAGCCACCCTAATTGTGCCTGGAGAATGGCTCATCCCTGTGTACCGTTTCTGGTGAGATGTACTTGAGATCTTGGTGCTTTCCATCCACAGTCTGCAGAAGGAAGGCCTGAAGGGAAGGAGAGAGAGAGATTGAGAAAGGGAGATGGGAGAAAGAGACAGAGAGGAGGAAAAAGGTGAAATTGGCAAGACTAGTAGCCCAGAGGGCCACACCTGCTTTGACCATCAAATTCAGCTCTGGTTCCCATAGCAACCAAGAGGCGTTTCTCAGTCTGATATCCAGGGAACAACCCCCTTCCCCCATGGGAAATGAAGAAGGGAACATAAGAGGTGAACTTCTTGCCCCACAATGAGGCCGCCCCACAACAAGGCCAGAGGAGGCTACAAGCTAGATGTGTTTCAACCTTGGAAACTGTTTCCATACTAACAGCTGATGCCCCAGACAGATTTGGGGTAGAATCAGGAAACTAAGGAGAGCCAGAGAGAGGAGTCTAGGTGAGAATAAAGGACAAAGCCTGGGACGTGGATGGGGATGGGGAGGTACCAAAGCAGCTGCTGAGCTCAGGGGCCACACAGGGGTCGAGCCTCCTGAGCGTCCCCTCACTGCTAGTACCTTGGAGTAATCCCCAATCAGTTCTCGGTGGTCACTGTCCAGGATGGTCTCAATCTCATCATGACACAAGGACTTGGAGCGAAGCACACGGGCTTTCTGCAGGGTAGATAGTGGCCAGGGTCAGGGGTGAGGCTGCCCCTCAGTGCCCCCATTTGGCTGGTACCTCTTTCCCTGCACCTGTCCTCTGTCACAGATCCAGCCAAGAAGAGCTTGCAGGGTAGACTTGGACAGTGGCTGCCCCACCCCACCCCAGGAGGGCACCCACAGGTTCTTTGGCCTCCCGTGGCTCCTCTGGAAGAGTCCCACTCCTCCTCCGCTTGTTCTGTATGGGCAGGTCCCGGTCATGGGGCCGCTCCAGCCTCTTGAGGATGGGTCGGATCACGCTGCAGGGCATGGATGGAGAACGGAAGAGCCGCTGGCACTTGCTGTACATGATGAGGTCCTGGCAGGAGTGGCAGGTCGGGGTCAGAGTGCCCAGCCCCTGCCCTCTACCAACCCCATCTGGAGGGTAGGGCCCCACTCCTCCAAGTTCTGAGGGTGGTGGGCCCCCCAGAGACCCACCTGCTCTTCCTCCTTTTCTGAGGTCTTGACCAGTGGGGCGCTAATGAGGCTCTCCATGCCCGGGGGTACCGCATTATCATCCTGAGGCCAAATCAGCAAGTATAGGGTCACACCTCAGGCAAAGGAAACCCTTTAGGCCCCAAGTCCTCCAGCAAGGCCCTCCTTGGCTCTGCCAGCCCATCCACGCAGGGTGGACCCCCAGGACCAGGAAACCCCCCACTTTGCTTGAGAAGCGCAGCCACGTGGAAGGGTCGGACCTGTCTCTGCCCTGCAGCACCCTCCCTCATTGCAGCACCAGCCACCTGCTGGTCTCTGGTAGGCCAGAGGTCACACTGTGACTCCATCAGCTCTGATTCCTCTTCTGAAATTGGAATGATGTCATAGTCTCACAGGCCTTGGGAGGTGGATGGCCTGGTGGGGCAAGACTGGTTACCTTTAAGTCACTCTCCAGGATGTCCACAAATCCATCATCTTCTTCGGAGGCCCCCCGGGGGGCAATCAAGGAGAAGTGGCATTGGGCTGGAGGACTCAGCTCCTCTACTTCCATCTTCTGCTCAGGGGTGAGACACTGTGCAGGGTGGTGGTGGGGGACAGACACAGGCTGCTCAGGGGTGGGGACTCAAGGCAGCCCCCACCCCCATCGTTCTGAGAAAAAGGTTCCCCACTGCCTAGGGGTTCAGAATCCCCCTCCCCCTCTCCCCAGGCTGCCTTTAAGGGCACCCACCCTACATGCAAGCCCGCCCTGCATGGTTCAGCTCTCCTGATGTACCATCAGGTCAGGGGCTGAGTTTGGTCTCTGGGCAAAGGCTTCTCTGCGGTCAGCCCACTCTGCTGAAGCATGGGCATGGCTGGGATGTGGGGGTTTCCATGGCATCTTGAAGACAAACCCATCCTGTGGGCAGCATGGGTGGGTGTCATCAAATGCCAGAGAACCATCCCAGCACACCCCCTTCCTTCTCTCCCTGAAGTGCTCCCACACTCCAGCCTTCTGGAAGCGCACATTCTCTTTGTCCTCCCCAGAGCTCTGGGCAGCTCGGCCACACGCCTCACTCTTCCTCCAGCTGCCAGGTGCTTGGGAGTTGGTGATGTTCCGCAGCACAGGGCTGTGGCCCAGAAGCCTCACCTAGAGAGCCAGGTAGGGCAGCAGATACTGAAGGCTGCATTCCTCTGGCACCAGCCCTGGCCCTACCTTCTCCCGTCCACCTCCAAAACCCCATCTCCCACAGCCAGACCAGGGACACCAGACCCGTTCAAGTCTACCCTCTGGGGAGGTGACCCCGGATCCCTCCTGTTCCTCCTCAAGCCTGGCCAGTGCCTGAGCCTCCAGTGTCAGGCCTCAGAGGACACTCACCGGCAAGGACTGGAAGCGTCGAATGGCAAACTGCTTGCTGCAGGAGGAAACAGGACATGTCAGGGCTGGAGAGTAGGGGGCAGTGAAGGAGAAGACGCAGAATGCCCCTCCACCACAGAGCTCTGTGCATCCCTTTGGGAGGGAATGGAGGAGCACCCTCCCCATGCCTACTCCATCCAACAGTGGGCATGGGAAGAGCCTGTGGTAGGCAGACCACCAGAGCCTGCATGAGGAAGGCTGGGGTACTTACTTTCGGATGACCCGGCTGGCTGCTTGGATGGCCTGCTCAAACCTAGGAAAGAGAAAAGTCCCATGCAGCCCGCCTCCCACTACAGCCCAGTGCCCACCCCCAGCATCAGGCCCCAGGGTCCACAAGGCCTGGGGGCCAGGGCTCAGGCCAGTAGAAAGCAGAGGGAAGAATGATGACTCTCCAGGGTTCAGGTACTGGGTAGGGGGAGAAGCAGCTTGGGATTTTGAAGGCTGCCCTGAATGGAAGAGGACCCAGAGAAAGGAGCAACAGAGACAGCTGGGGCAGGTCACAGGGTGGCTAAGGCGCTACCAAGGCAACGGTCTCGCCAGCCTGCCCACAGGCCTTCCACCTGTATGCAAATCATCTCGGCAGGGCCATATGGCCGCCAGGAAAGGCATCCATCCATCCCGTGATGACAGACCGTGGCGGACAATGTGGGTATCTCCAGGGCCTGGATGCCAGCAGGACTGGGCTTTCCTCCCCTTGCATGGGGCTGTCCTGACCCCAGGACAGGGGCCTGGGTTAGTGTGCCATGCCAGACCCCCTAGCGACAAATGTTCAGGGTCACATCCTCTCCTCCCTCCTCTGGAATTCTGCAGGACCCAGCCTCTGTCCCACCCCCTTCTCCTGCCTTAGAAGAGGCCAGCAGGCAAAGAATTCCAACAGATGTTCCTTTTGAGGCTGGGGCACAAGCTTCTGTAGATAAGCCCCACCCCTTAGCTATGTTACCAGAGACCACCTGCCACGAACGGCTTTTGTGTGTCTATGGGAGTGCAGGCGCGCGCGCGCGCGCGCGCACACACACACACACACACACACACACACTTCTTTCTGAGAAACTAACTGTCAAAGCAGGTGTAGAGGTTGGGGTCCCGCTGAGGGCTCATGTCATGGAGACAACTCCCAGGTGTGGGGAGTGGTTGTGCCCAGACAACCTGGCATCAGGAATGATGAATTTTATTGGCTTGGTTTCCAATCTGCACCTGGGCCTCGTGAGTTAAGCAGGAACAGTTCTGTGTTGCCACCAAAACCCAACCTGCAGTTCCCCTGCCCACCCCCTCCCCACCCCCACCGAGTTCTCTCCCTGTTTCCTGTTTGTGAACAAACCCTGTGGCCCAGCCCAGTCTAATCAAAGGCAGTGGGAGGAAAGACAGCCACTACCCTAACCCCAAAGCCATAGTCCCTGAGCCCAGTTTGGGGATGCCCAGCTGTCCCCACTATTGCCTGGCAGCTGCTCTTCCTGCTGGGGCTCTAACAGCTGGATGGGAACAGCTGTGCTCTGGGAGATACTACTCATGCCCCACAACCAAGGGGTAAGGATTTGTCCTGAGCAGAAGGCCCTCTCCATTCTCTCTCACAAAGGGCCTGGTCCAGGGGTTGGCCAGAAGGGTTAAGTGTCACTGAAGGCAGAGGTTGCTGAGAGGACAGCCAAGGGCTGAACCAACCTGCAGCAACTGTTTTGTTTGGACTACAGTGAATTAAAAGTTTTGAACTGGTTGGAGCATAACTTAAAATAGTGATATTTCACAGAAAAAAAAAACAAAACATGTGTAAAGGCAAAAGAAAAACAGGACACACACCAGGCCTATATCCCATAGGCCAAGAGCTGGCTGAAGTATCCACTGCTCCCAGTAGCGACTGTCCCCACCACCTGGCCCTGAGCCCACACTCAGCTGCTTCTTTGGGACCAGGTCCTTCTCTGAGACAGGAAGCAGAATCTCAGGACTTGGGAGATCAACGAGTCCCCCACCACCACCACCACCACACAGATTAGAAGGGTCTGTCCACTCTCCCAGACTTCCCCAGTGGGTTTATGCTGGAACCAAGATTCCCAAAGGCAGGGGCCAACTCCTTGGTAGTGGGGATCTCTTTTCTCTACTCACGTCTGCTCTGCCTTCTGGGGATCCATGGGGCTGGGGGAATCCATACAGAGACCTGGGGTGACAGAGCACTTTGGTCTAAAAGTGGTGGCATCTTCTGCACATATTCCCCCCACCATGTCCCAACTCTATTCAGAAAAGGGAGAAACCAGTTTCTATTTTAGATCTTGACACACTTAAAAATAGTGAAACAGAAACCCACCCATGAACCCCAAGGGCTGACACACTGCCCCCGAAATCGTGCAAGGCTCCACTCCCTGTTTACTAGGGAAACTCCTCGGTATAGGTTTTAAACCAAAATGTTCCTAAGCATTTTACTTGAACTGGTTTAAAGCAATATGTTTTAGAAGAGATAACAGCTTTTTTAAAGGAAAAGGTTACAGCTGAGGGCAAGTGAACGCTATAAAATGACCAACTTTCAGCCCTGATGCCTCCCAGGTGGGGCTGTGGTTCAGGGACTTTGGCGCCTGGTTTTAAATAGGTAAGATCTCATCTTCCCCAGAGGGCCCCACCCTACCGCCCGCTCAGCCAGTCTGGGCTGGGTGTGGTGAGCCCCAACAGGGGTGAGCAGGTGGAGGCTCCTGCGCCCACCAGGTTGTAGGGGAAATGTTAGTCCGATCAGCAAGGAAGTGGAGAGACTCAGGCAGCCCCCCTAAGTCCCCTGGCACCCCTGAGCCTCACCTGCATCAGAAGATTCAGAAGACTCAGACGACAGGGAGGATTCAGATGCCCGCCTCCGGGACAGGGATAGGCTTGTGAGCAGGCTGTCTACCTGCTGCTTTGGGGTCTCACTGAGAAGGCAACAGGGACCCAGGGAAGGAGGAAGGTAAACTGGGGCTTGAGGGCTGACTGGCCTATGTGCCCACCACCCACCCACCTCTGAAGGGCCCACCATTGCCCCAGGGAGGCAATGGCCCTGAGGGTCTTGCCCTCTTTTCAGGCCTTCTGCAGAGGCCCTAAATAGCTTTTCTTTGTTAAGAAAGGTCCTCTTGGGTTCCTCAGGAGGTGAGCCCCAGGGCAAGAGCAAGTAGGTAGGTTGAGGGCCATTCTGGGGGATGGCAGCAGAATAGCCCCTTCTCGGAACCCATCAGACCCCTACTCATCCACAAGCCTTTCTGGAGCAAGGGCAAGACTTAGCTCTCAACTGCTGCTGAGGGCAACCCAGCCTGGACACTGCAGGTTGCTCAGGAAGCAGGATCAGTGTTTAACCCTTAACCTCCGGAAAGAACTGGGGGTGGAGGGAGCAGGGGCACAGACAGGAGGACATAAGAGAACCAGGCTCCTCTGCCACCCTCAACTTTCCACTCCAGGCTCAAGATCCACTACTTGGGGCAAAATAGTGGTGGTTAGGGCAGAGATTAGAGAGACAGCATGGTGGAGGCACATGAGGGTGTGTGGGGTGGGTGGTCGGTGGGACGGGTGTCTCCAGAGGCTCCCGCTGCCAGGAGCAAGCCACCTGGAGGGTGTGAGCAGCACAGACCCGGCCTCATCGCCCTAGTCCCAGATCCCTGAACCAGTCACTCCCCAGGACACCTCCCCACTCCGCTTCTCAGATCCGGCTCCCACGCGGGGCTCCACAGGAGGCCGGGGACCAACACCCTGGTGCCGGCCTCTCACCCCACACCCAGCGTCGGTGGGGCGCCCTACCTGCCGAGCCCGGCGAGGTTGTGCATGGTCTGGGTGAGGGTGGTGACCGGCGAGGAAGCGGCCGCGCGCTCCGGGGACCCCACGAGGCCGTGAGCTCCCGTCTGGAGGCCCAGGAGGTGGCGGGGACGCTCGGCTCCACGGCCCAGGCAGACCGGACTGAGAGGCGGAGCGGGCGCGGGCTCCGGCTGGGGCAGCTCCATCGCGGCGGGGCCCGCAGGAGGCAGGCGGGAGGGCCGCGCGCGGGGCGGCGCGGGGCACAGCTGCCCGGGACGAGGTGGGGAGCAGGCCCGGGGAGGGAGGAAGAGCCACGGGGCCGGAGCGAGGGAGGAGGGAGGAGAGGGAAGCGGGGAGGGTGGGGCGGGGTGGAGGGACGCGGGGACCGACCGCCAGTCCGGGAAGCCTCTCGGCGGCAGCTGCCACCTCCACCTCCTTATATATTCGAAAAATAACAGCGGCCGCGCCGCCGGACGCCGCCAATGGGGGCGCGGGGTAGGGGAGGGCGGGGCCGAGGGCGGGGCCCGGGGTGAAAGGCGCGGAGGCTGACCAGCCGGGCCCAGCCCAGTTCCCGGCTTCGGTTGGGGCTAAGGAGTTGGGGAGCCTCTGAAGCCTCCAGGCACCGTCCTCTCGCTCCCCCAGCCAGGACTCGAGGATCCTGGCTTCCCAAATTCTGCCTCTCGGGATGTGGTCTGGAGTTACCCTCGGTGGAGAAAGTCCCTGAGGAAGCCACACCTGCTGGGGTGGCCTCAGAGGGACCTCTCCCCCCCACCCCCCGAGATTTAACATCACCTACAATCTCACCGGTAGGCACCGTGAGAGGCTCCACTCCGCGGCTTCACCGTGCGGTCTGAGTTCGCCACTCCACTTTATCATCCACTCGGATGTTGAGGCGTGAAGAAGTTCATTAACTCGTTCAAGGTCACCCAAGGCAAGTGATAGAGCAAAAATTCACCCCCGGCGCGGCGCTCCTGCAGCCTCCCGGCCCTAGCGGCTGGCAGCGCGCTGTGTCCGGGAAGCGTCAGTACCCAGCGGGGCCTCCCCACACACCCGGCACTGGAGGTAGACCCGAGGTGGGGACCTACGTGTAACTCATGGGGCCCCGGGTTACAGATGACCCCAGGGGGTCTTGTTTTCTCCAGCAGTCTCAGTGGAGGCTCTAATGACTGAGGTTTTGGCGACGGGGGCCAAAGAAGGTGTTCCAACCTCAGAACCAAGTTATGGAAATAATCTCATGCCAACTGACGGTTTGGCTAATGTGATGTCGAGGGCACCACATTGTTTAATTGGTGTTTCTTTGATGACCAAGGAAACGGAATCTGTCACTAGTTTAAAATGAGCATCTTACAACTGATGACTTTTCAGCAATCCTGCTTTCCTGGAATGAGCCCTGGAAGGCTACAGTAAAAAGTGAATTAGCAGTAAGTGCTTCTGCATCTCATCTCCCCAGCAAGGAGACGGCCTCTGGCTGGGTGGAACACAGCTCAGGAAAGCAGGAACTGAGGCTTTGCTTCCCTTCTCTGCAGCCGCATCCCTCTGATACCACGGGCAGTGGGTGGGAGTGGCAGAAGGGAAGGCCTGGCCTGTGTGGGGCTGAGTGAGCTAGGGGACTTGTGGAAGAAGGGGATACAAAGACCCCAGTCCTATGTAAGAGGGGTAGGATGGTGCAGATCATGACTTTTCCTTCACCCAACATTTTGCTCAGCTTCTGTGATGTGTCAGGTGCTATGCTTCATGCTGGACAGGGCTGAGGTTTCAGGTCCATCCACCCTGGATCAAGGATCCAGTTCCCAGCCTCCAGCCACTACTCACAGCCCAGGATGCAACTGTCCTGAGAGGTCAGAGGGAGGAGGAGACACTCTGTGGGCCTCCCACCTCAAACACCAGAAATAAAACCAAGGGGTTGCATTTTCAAAATCAACCCAACAGGTATCCCCTTCCAACACACACATACACACACACTTCTACAGGGTGTGGGGAGGGTGTGTGTGTGGCCAACAAAAAGTGGGGGAGTATTATATCCTTGAATCCTTTGAAATCCCACACTCAGAGGTCACCTCTGGGCCAATGAGGAAAGGCCAAGACCACAGAAGGGTCATTTCAGAGCATCCTACACATCAGCTCTTTGTGTCTTCCCCAATCAACAATTAGATCACAGATTATGTGCTCAATTAAAAAAAAAAGGTAGTCAATAAAAATAAGCTAAAATAAATATTTGCAATTCTATCATAGGAGGAATGACTCCTCCCATCCAACCAAGTCCTGAGTACAGTGACAGTTCTTGACTGCAGAAACCTCCACGTCCCATGAAAAGAATATCCTGGCTCTGGATTGTACACATCAAGCTCTGGGCTTACTTAAGGAGGTCTAGTGTGACCCCAGTACCTTGGCAGAAAAGAAGAAAAAATTATCACGTTTGCAGAATCCTTCTGCTTCTCCAAGCCTGTTCCCACACAGCATCTTTTTTGCAGTATTCACTTTTCCAGTGCCTTTTCTCATGGCTTCTAACACGATAAATGTTTTTTTTTTTTAATTGGCACATGGTACCAAAAATTCAAACAAGGGACAAAATTCAAATGGTACAAAACAGCAGTGAAAAGTGTCTCCCACCCTACTAAAAACTTTCAGCACCCCTGCCTAGAGGCAGCCACCAATATGAGTTTGTTGCATATTCTGGAGATAGTCTGTGACAGTTTTAGGCAATCGAAACATAATGGGGAGGCACAGATATGAGCCACATTCAGAACTTAAAATTTCCAAGTAGCCACACCAAAAAATATTAAAAGAAGGACGCTTGGGTGGCTCAGGGTTTGAGTGTCTGCCTTTGGCTAAGGTGGTGATCCCGGGATCCTGAGATCAAGTCCGGCATCGGGGAGCCCGCTTCTCCCTCTGCCTATGTCTCTGTGTCTCTCATGAATAAATAAATAAAATCTTTTTTAAAAAATAAAAATAAAGAATAAAAAATATAAAAAGAGACAGCTGAAATTTTAATATTTTATTTAACCTAATATATTCAAAATATTATCATTTCAACACATTATCAATATAAGAGTTATTAATTAGATAGTTTAGGTACCTGGGGATCCCTGGGTGGCACAGCTGTTTGGTGCCTGCCTTTGGCCCAGGGCGCGATCCTGGAGACCCGGGATCAAATCCCACATCGGGTTCCTGGTGCATGGAGCCTGCTTCTCCCTCTGCCTGTGTCTCTGCCTCTCTCTCTCTCTCTGTGTGTGTGACTATCACAAAAAAATAAAAAATTAAAAAAAAATAAAAAAAATTAAAAGATAGTTTAGGTACCTTTTTCTTTTTTTTTTTTTTATTTATGATAGTCACAGAGAGAGAGAGAAAGAGAGGCAGAGACATAGGCAGAGGGAGAAGCAGGCTCCATGCACCAGGAGCCCGACGTGGGACTCGATCCCGGGTCCCCAGGATTGCGCCCTGGGCCAAAGGCAGGCGCTAAACCGCTGCGCCACCCAGGGATCCCGGTACCTTTTTCTTTTTATACCAAGTCTCAAAGTCCAATGTGCATTTGACACTTACAGCACATCTCAGCTTAGACTTGCCACATTTCACATGCTCGATAGCCACATGGGACTCATGGCTACTGGAATGCACAGTGCAGGTATGTATAAGCATATGTATGTCCATATTTTTACAAATATAGCAAACAGTATGTGAAACATTGTTTTACGCCTTGCTTTCTTCATTTTGCTTGAAGATGCATCCATATTAATTAGTACCATAATGCCATATATTTAATTCCCTAATGCTGAACATTAGGTTATTAGCTTTCACACTGATGGAGCAAGTACACACAGAATTAATTCATAAAAGGGAACTATTAGGGGGTGCCTGGGTAGCCCAGTTGGTTAAGCATATGACTCTTGATCTCAGCTCAGGTCTTGATCTTAGGGTTGTGAGTTCAAGACCCACACTGGGCTCTAGGCCCAGCGTGATGCCTACTTAAAAAGAAAAAGAAAAGGGAACTATTGGAAGGTATGGCTTTATTTATTGAATTCTTCTTTTCCCTTTCCTGAACTTCATTTCCTCAAGCTAACTGAGCTGATGAAGAACAGAGACTAAGTCATCTGCCTCTCCTTCCATCTCCTAGCACCTCATATAGGCCCAAGTCCAAGGTTGGCCTCTGACCCAATATAACACTTCTAGGGATTTCTCTTAAAGAGATGATAAAAGTACACACAGATATATGGTCATTGAACCACCATTAATAGCAATGAGATACAGAGAGCTAGCTGGGTGTATTTACAGGGGTGTAGCTAATGAAATGACTCCTCTATACTGCGTAATACCTGCAAGTTTTAAAGAGAACAGGCATGGTGGTGAGTAGGGATGCTTGGCACTCGGCAGGGGCCCAATCAGTAATTGTTAATATTTGAATGATTACATATTGGGCTTTCAGAAAATAGTCTTTTGAAGAAAGGGTTCCTAGAGCAAAAGAAGTTTGAAACTCACTGATGGAAATAATTACTGACGTGAAAAGATGTTCACAATATGGGCTACAAAATATCATGCCAAGTGTAGTCCCATTAAAAACAATATGCATGATAAAGTATCCCACAAGGATAGTCTCTGAGTAGTGGAATTAAATGTTTCTACCCTCAAAATTTTCAGTATTTTCAAATATTTTAAAAAGAACAGGTATAATTTTTAAGTTAATTAAAAGACTGTGATCTCAATCTGGCAGCTCCTCAAACAATTAAACATAGAGTTACCATATGACCCAGCAATTCCACTCCTAGGTATATACCCAAGAAAAATGAAAACATATGTCTGCACAAAAACTTGTAAACAAGTGTTTATAGCAGCATTATTCATAACTGTCAAAAACACGGAAATAATCCAAATGTCCATCAAATGACAAATAGATAAAAATGTCATGTATCAGGGCACCTGGGTAGCTTACCCAGTTAAGCATCTGCCTTCAGCTCAGGTCAGGATCCCAGAGTCCTGGGATTGAGCCCCATGTCAGGGTCTCTGCTTGCCTGCCAACCCCCACCCCTGCTTGTGTGCTCCCTGTCAAATAAATAAATAAAAAAACATTTTTAAGTGTCATACATCTATGCAATAGAATATTATTCAGCTGTAAGAAAAGAATAAAGTACCAATTGAGGTTTCATCATGGATGAATGCTGAAAACATGATGCTAAGTGAAAAAAGCCAGTCATAAAAGACACATATTACATGATTTCATTCATATGAAGTGTCCAGAACAGGGAAACCTACAGATGGAAAGTAGATCAGTGGTTGCTTAGGGCTGGGGAAGGGGCAGGGAGTGGATAGGGAGATAGTAGCTAAAGGCTATGGGATTTCTTTCTAAGGTGATAAACATGTTCTAAAATTGTGATGATAGTTCCATGTGTCATTTAATTGTATATAGCTAAATGGGTGAATTGTATGATATGTGAAATATATCTCAATAAAGCTGTTAAAAATGAAAGCATGAATAGAATTATGGAGGACTGGGGGAGAGATAAGGTATTTCTCTTGGGACTTTTGGCTCTAGGAACTCTGGAGATGTCCTCAAATGGCTGGACAACCTCTTTCCTGCTAACTGTATCCACCTCCATCAACAGGCCCACATTGTCTTCAATTTCTAGGCCCATTCTTGGTGCCATACAGAGGATACTGGTATGGCCATTTCCAGGACCAAAAAAAAAAAAAAAAAGCCACACACATGTGCTGAATACACAGCCATTTCTAGACATCTCATCTACCCACTGCCTGTAGCTGGGGCATAGGGTCCATTTCCACTCCCTCTAAACTGAGCAATCCCCATGCCAATCCATCTGGAACCCTGGGATCTTCCCCCCACTTCCCTCTGTAATCCCTATCTTTCCAATTCCCCACCTTAAACAAGTCCAAAGTCCACCTTCTCTTCTTTTGGTCCAAGCTGTCCAAAGTTGCCCACCAGGCCTAATACCCATTCCATTTATCTAATCATTATTTTTCATGCTTCTTAGAAAGCTTTCCAGTCTCCTTTTCATTTTATTTTTAAGATTTTATTTATTTATTTATTCATGATAGACACAGAGAGAGAAAGAGGCAGAGACACAGGCAGAGAGAGACGCAGGCTCTGTGCCGGGAGCCCAACGCAGGACTCCATCCCGGGACCCCAGGATCACACCCCGGGCCAAAGGCGGCGCTAAACCGCTGAGCCACCCAGGGATCGCCTCCTTTTCATTTTAAAGGACCTGTTATACTCACTTATTGAAAAAAAAAAAGTGGGAAATTCAGCAAAGTAGGAAAAAATAAGCCTACCCACACTGCATTTACCCAAGCACACATTGATTGTAAGCCAGGATGGGTGAAGAGGCAGGAGGGACATATGGATGAAATCACCAAAATGTTGACATGGTTTCCTGAAAATGTATAGCAGGGAGTCTCAGACAGGTAGCCCTACACTCACCTTTGCATACGGACCATCACCTATTATGGACCAAGAACTGATTTGGCTCCTTTTTTTTTTTTTTTTTTTTGATTTGACTCCTGTAGGGAAAAGTCTCCCACATTTTCTCCTAGATCTGGTGATTAGAAGAATATTTTTTATGTCTCAGGAGTGGGAAAGGCCTAACTAAGTAAGACACAAAACCCTGAAGCAATAAAGGAAAAATCTGACAGACCTGCCTACCTAAAGGTTTACAAACTTTCCATATCTAAGATTTCCCTAGGCTAAATTAAAGGACAGCTGGCAGACTGGAAGAACATATTTGCAACATACTTAACAAAGATTTTGTGTTCAGAGCCTATGAAGAGCTCCTAGAAGTCCCCAGAAAGGCAAATACAAGAGAAAAATCAACAAAGAGTATGAAAAAAATCACAGGATTCAAATGGCCAAAACACATATGAAAAGAAAAATACACACGAACACAGCAATGAGTAAACTTTCTTCACCTGGCCTACAGAAACACCACACTGGCTTGATGGTGCTCTTATCTCTTCAGCTGTTTTTCATGAATTTCTTGTTAGTCGTTTCTTGAACCCTTAACCTTGGAGAGCCCAGGGCACTGTCCCTGGTCCTCTTTTCTTCCTTGTACACGCCCCCTCACTTGAAGCCTTAATCAGCCCCAGGTCCTCAGCCCATGCCCCTGGGTCACAGGCTTCCTCTCTGACTACACCTCAGGCTACCCTAAGATTTTTTAAAACACTGCAATGCATTCATTGTTTTAAGAATATCTCATTTTTATGTGTTCAGTACAGGAGGAGGTTTCAGGGATTCATATACATATATTACTTCTGTAGGTGAAAATACAAACATTTATGTCTGTATGCACGGAAAAGCCCAGAAAGTGACACACAGAGATGTTACTAGGGTTTACCTATGGATTATGGGATTACTATCAAATAGATTTAAAATTGTAATGTTGCTTATAAAAATAACTTAAATGTATAACAATAGGCTGTACATAGATTGGTGTTCACCCATAATTGGAACAATATACAACCATTAAAAAGTATGTTGGCAATATTTTATCGACGTGGCAAAATTCTCATCATTCTATGCCAGGTAAAACAGCAGGAGAAGCCAGACATACAGTCTATACATCTGATGCCAGGTTTATGCAATAAATTTTTAAAAAGAAAACTGCATGAGCCTAGAGAAAAGACTGGAAGGAAACGTATCAAAATGTTACCTGTGCGCATCTCTCCAGGTGTTGAGGTGAAAGGTGATTTTTAGTTTCCCGTATTTTTCAGTTTCCCCAAAAGGCGTGAACTATTTTTGCTGTGACAAACCAAACAAAAAACCCCACAAAACACAGTTGTTACTCTTTATGCGCAGCAGATCGCTGCCCACTGGGTGCAGAGGCCTGTCCGACGCCCCTGCCCGCAGGTCGCCGGCCGCCCGAGCGCCGGCGGGTCCAGCAGGCCGCAGCGCCCCCCCGCGGTCGGCCCGGGGCAGCGTGGGGGGGGCGGTGGGCACGGAGGGCGGGGAGGCGGCGCCGGGCGTCCCCGCGCTTCCCGCGAGATCCCGCTCCGCCCGCTCCGCCCCGCTCGCCGCGCTCCCCGCTCCCCGCTCCCCGCTCCCCGCGCCGCGGCACTTCCTGCCTTCCGCGCCCGCGCCGCCCGCCCTCGCCCGCGCCCGCCGCCTGCCGCCCGCCGCCCGGCGCCGCGCCCGCCGGCGCCCCCGAAGGTGTCCCCGGCCGGGCCGGGTCGCCGCCCCGCCCGCCGCCCCGCGAGCCGCTTTGTCTCGGGCGGGGCGCGCGGGAGAGGCCGCCAGGTGCCCCCCGCCGCGGGCCCGGGCCCCCCGCCCCGGGGTGGCGGCGGTGGCGCCGGGCCCCGGGGCGGGGGGCGCGCCGGGATGGGCCCCAAGCGGCGGCAGCTGACGTTCCGGGAGAAGTCGCGGATCATCCAGGAGGTGGAGGAGAACCCGGACCTGCGCAAGGGCGAGATCGCGCGGCGCTTCAACATCCCGCCGTCCACGCTGAGCACCATCCTGAAGAACAAGCGCGCCATCCTGGCGTCGGAGCGCAAGTACGGGGTGGCCTCCACCTGCCGCAAGACCAACAAGCTGTCCCCCTACGACAAGCTCGAGGGGCTGCTCATCGCCTGGTTTCAGCAGATCCGCGCCGCTGGCCTACCCGTCAAGGGCATCATCCTCAAGGAGAAGGCGTTGCGTATAGCCGAGGAGCTGGGCATGGACGACTTCACCGCCTCCAACGGTTGGCTGGACCGCTTCCGCCGGCGCCACGGCGTGGTGTCCTGCAGCGGTGTGGCCCGCGCTCGGTCGCGCAGTGCTGCCCCCCGGCCCCCGGCGGCCGCCGCCAGCCCGCCTGCGGTGCCTTCGGAGGGCAGTGGCGGAGGTTCGACGGGCTGGCGCGCTCGGGAGGAGCAGCCGCCGTCGGTGGCCGAGGGCTACGCCTCCCAGGACGTGTTCAGCGCCATCGAGACCAGTCTGTGGTACGACTTCCTGCCCGACCAGGCTGCGGGGCTGTGCGGCAGCGATGGCCGGGCGCGCAGGGCCACCCAGCGCCTGAGTGTCCTGCTGTGCGCCAACGCGGACGGCAGCGAGAAGCTGCCCCCGCTTGTGGCCGGCAAGTCGGCCAAGCCCCGTGCAGGCCAAGCTGGCCTGCCCTGCGACTACACGGCCAACTCTAAGGGTGGTGTTACCACCCAGGCCCTGGCCAAGTACCTGAAGGCCCTGGACACTCGCATGGCTGCGGAGTCTCGCCGAGTCCTGCTGCTGGCTGGCCGCCTGGCTGCCCAGTCCCTGGATACCTCGGGCCTGCGGCACGTACAGCTGGCCTTCTTCCCTCCGGGCACCGTGCAGCCGCTGGAGCGGGGAGTGGTCCAACAGGTGAAGGGCCACTACCGCCAGGCTATGCTCCTCAAGGCCATGGCCGCACTAGAGGGCCAGGATCGCTCGGGCCTGCAGCTAGGTTTGATGGAGGCCCTGCACTTTGTGGCTGCTGCCTGGCAGGCAGTGGAGCCTTCGGACATAGCTGCCTGCTTCCGTGAGGCTGGCTTCGGGGGTGGCCCAAATGCCACCATCACCACTGCCCTCAAGAGTGAGGGGGAGGAAGAGGAGGAGGAGGAAGAGGAGGAAGAAGAAGAGGAGGAAGAGGAGGAGGAGGGTGAAGGGGAGGAGGAGGAGGAGGAAGAAGAAGGCGAGGAGGAGGAAGGGGGGGAAGGAGAGGAGTTGGGGGAGGAAGAGGAGGTGGAAGAAGAGGGTGATGTTGATGACAGTGATGAAGAGGAGGAGGAAGAGGAGGAAGAGAGCTCCTCTGAGGGGTTGGAGGCCGAGGACTGGGCCCAGGGGGTAGTGGAAGCCGGTGGCAGCTTTGGGGGCTACGGTGCCCAGGAGGAGGCCCAGTGCCCAACCCTCCATTTCCTGGAGGGTGAAGAGGACTCAGAGTCTGACAGTGAGGAAGAGGAGGAAGAGGAGGAGGATGAGGAGGATGAAGATGATGAAGATGAGGAGGAGGATGGTGATGAGGTGCCTGTTCCTAGCTTTGGGGAGGCCATGGCTTACTTTGCTATGGTCAAGAGGTACCTTACTTCCTTCCCCATCGACGACCGAGTGCAGAGCCACATCCTTCACTTGGAACACGATCTGGTCCACGTGACCAGAAAGAACCACGCCAGACAGGCGGGAGTTCGGGGTCTTGGACATCAGAGTTGAGCCACTGGGCCTAGCCATGCCCTACCCGGATGTGGCAGCACCAGCCCAGGGTGGAGAACTCTCTGGGCGACTGCTGCAGATGGAGCCAGAGTGGGGAGCTCCAGATCCTTTAGTGATGTTCCCTGGGCCTGGTGACAGGCCCAGCCACCTCCATAGGGCCCAGGGCTGGCGTCAGCCTCACTGCCTGCTTATTGCCTCTTTCTCAGAGTCCTCTTTCCTCCCCATTTGCCCCTGGGCTTGGGGGACCAGGTGGGGAGGGTGGGGAGCTGTCCGGTGCTACCACACCGTGCCATCAGTGGACTAGGCCACAGGAGCAGCCAGGGATGGGCCCTGGAAGCTCCTGGCCGGAGAGTGCCTCTCCCCTCTGCCGTCCATGCCAGGTCTTTGGTAGGGGGGACCCCAAAGCCATTTTGGGAAGGGCTCCAGAGGAAGGTCCAGCCTAGGCCCCCACAAGGCTGGCAGCCCCCCACCCCTGCCCCTGGGCCGCCTTGAGAAGCACAGTCTAACTCACCACAGGCTCCTGAGCCTGCCTCTGCCTGCTTCCCCATCTTCCCAATCCCTTTCTCTGGTCCAGTCCAGGTTACTTTGGCCCTTGGTTTTCTTCCCAGATTGGAGGTTCCCAAGAGGCCCTCCAGGGGAGTGGTAATGGGCACTTCCCTTGTGGGTAGCTGCAGGGGCCATGCCTCTCCTCCCTCTCTGGCAGGGCCCTATCCTGGGCAGGGGGCCTGGGGCTGGGCCCATAGTCCAGCCATCCAGCCGCTCCTTTGCCAGTCTGAATTCAATAAATCCGTCCACCCCCCTTTTGTGGGGGTGAACGTTTTAACAGCCAAGGGTGCATCCTTCATGGTCTGGGCTTGCGTCTGTCTTGGGAACACGTCCTTTCCTGGTTCCCTCTGGTCCTTGTTCTGGTGGGACATGGAGCCAAGTGTTGAGAGGGTAGCCACAGCTGAGGCCCTGACTGGGGTGAGGGGCCACCTCCATATCTAAATACTGTCTAGGCTTGGGGAGGCAGGTGACATATTCACACTGGCTTGGGTTTGAGGAAGGCCAGGCCTTGCACTGCTTTGGGGTTAGAAAGAAGCTGGGGGTCAGTTGGGTAGGAGAGGAGGGAGGGAGCCAGCAATCCCTCTTGGGCCAAATTACACCGGCAACCAGGCCTATCAAGCCCAAGAAGATCCTTGCAGGATTGGAGTCAGAAGGCAGAGCAAAAGGGGTGTTGGGGCAACTTCTGTGGTGCAAGTTGGAGTCTGGAGGAACATACAGGGCATCCCTTGGTTTATCTTTGATGCCTTAAGAGGGAACCCTTTAGACCTTTTGATGATTGGCATCTCCAAGCCTGGTGGCTATCCTGGGGACAGTGGCAGGAGGAAGATAAAATTCCTGGGACAGATTGCACCCCCAAAAGGCTGGGGGGCACCCCGGTCCAAAGGTGAAGACTGGAGTCTCTGCTGATCCTACCCCTTTCGTGGCTCAGCCCCTCCCTCACTGAGGCCTATAGGCCCCAGCAGTTCCAGCCGGGGGAGGGCCTGGGCTTGGGGCTGCCAGGCAGCTCCAGGCCCCCAAACCGGTTTTCCCACCTCCGCTAAGGCTGGCATGTCACTGCTGCCTTTCCCTCCCTACCACTTCCTTTCAGTTCTTCCTCTCTCCACCCTGGAATGTTGGGGGGTTGTAGACTGTCTAGGTCATCTTTTGTCCCCTGCCTGCGCTGGGTGTGATCTCTTCTAGAAAGGCAAGGCCACCATGTATGACTTTAAAACAAAGTAGAGTGCCAATTCCACACTTGGCCTTCCACACTTCTGGTGCTCAGGCTTCCCCTGTAGACCTTGCTGAGTGACAGCAAAAGTAGTTGGGTTCCCCCTTATCATCATCCCCCACCCCCATTTGAGTTGTGGAGGAGGAAACCGGAAAGTCAAAAGGAAGCCCAGCCTACCCCCTGGCCTGCTCTGGAGTAAGGGGGGAGCAGTAGCCTTTCTCCTGTTCAACCCAGCCCCTTACTTCAAATACCAACAAGGCAAATTATTTCCATTTGTCTCCTCTTCTGCTGAACTGAGGTCATCTCATTAATGGTAGCACCAACTGATGTAAATGGGGCCCTTGCTGTGTGCCAAGCGCTGTGCTAAGCACTTCAGATGCTCATACATCCCCTTTGAGGGAAGTAAAACCATGAGAAAACAGGCACAGAAAGATCCAGGATTCTACCCAAAGCCACATTGGTAGCCTTTGGTGGAAGCAAGCTTTCTTCTCTGGCTCATTGGCTGCTACTGTGTCCCTTCACTAAGGAAGGACCCACATCCCTAACCCTGCTACAATTCGTGCTCTTTTGAAGTGGAATTGGCTACTGAAATCCATTTAATCCTTGGAAGAATAGCTCTTTGAAAGGAGATGGGGGCTGTGAAAGTGTCTACAGGAGCTCCTACAGCTTTTACACCTGTGGCCAACTCCCATCTCCCCCAGTCCCCATATAAATGCAGATCTTCTGTAAATACCTTTCCATTTTCCTCCCTATTACCCCATTGGGACAAATAGGTGAGAACCATTCCCACTTCACCAAAGAGGAAATAGGGTTAAGGAGTTAAATAACCTGCCCTAGGCACTGGCCTTGAACCTGGGAGTCTGAGTCTCATATTAAAAGTCCTACCAGGGGATCCCTGGGTGGCGCAGTGGTTTGGCGCCTGCCTTTGGCCCGGGGCGCGATTCTGGAGACCCGGGATCGAGTCCCACATCGGGCTCCCGGTGCATGGAGCCTGCTTCTCCCTCTGCCTGTGTCTCTGCCTCTCTCTCTCTCACTGTGTGCCTATCATAAATAAATAAAAATTTAAAAAAATATATTTAAAAGTCCTACCAGGACACTGCTGGGAAGGGTAGTAGTGGTGGTGGCCTTAGTAGCACAGAGCTCTGGAGGAGGGACCCAGCAGGGAGGCACTGTCACACAGCCTATCACACAATCCAGATGGGAAGCAGCAGATGATTAACAGTGGATGGCCAGAAAAAGCTGATAAACATTGGGATACTGCCTTCACTTGGGACTGATCACTAAAGGATCCAAAAGGGGAAATCCCAGCCCTGGGGAGGCTGGTGCAGGGATTCTGAGGGTCTGGTTGGCTTTGGCAGATTCCTGAGTGGGCCAACGGCTGATCAGGTGAAGTGGGCGCAGATGCTGGGAAGACAAGGCCACTTAATCGCCTTTCAAAGCTGGGGCCTGAGAGTAAGGAGAGGGAGAGAACTACAACTCCCAGAAATCCCTGCTCCCTGCCAAGTCAAGGATAGTTGCCATGGTTTCAGAAAACAATATGGCTGCTCCCAGCTGGGAGGAGAGTCCGGATTAGAGGGGTGGAGGCAGGTCTCGTCGCCCTCAGTGGCAAGAGAAGAGGAGCCTGAGGGATCGTGAGGTTGAGGCTGGACGCTGGACGGCTAGAACAGCCTGGCCTTGCCGACGGTGCCAATGGCGGGCAGCGTGGACGAGGAGGCGTTGCACCAGCTGTACCTGTGGGTGGACAACATACCTCTGTCCCGGCCCAAGCGAAATCTCTCCAGGGATTTCAGTGATGGAGGTGTGCACCTCAGTGTGTGTGCGCTCCTGTGTGTATCCCTTGTGTCCATGTTTGTTGACACGTTCTGTCCTGTGTGTATATGTGTAAGGGGTCTGTATGCATATGTCTCTGTGCTTTTGTGTGTGTGGGTATGTGTGTTTGTTGGGGGGTGTCTATCTCTTAGAAGTTCAGTTGTAGAAGTTGTGTGTGTGTGTGTGTGTGTGTGTTTCTATCTCTATGGGAATGTGAGTGTGCGTGTGTCCATATGTACGTCCCCTTGTTCTATCCTTCATGCATGTGTGGTGTGTTTGTGTGAGTCTGTGACTCCTGAGACTTTAATGACTAAGACGTGTGTCTGTTTTTGTCCATTTCTCTGTGTGTTCTTGTTCATTGCTGTATTTTTAAAAAGATTTTATTTATTTTTTCATGAGAGACACAGAGAGAGGCGGAGACATAGGCAGAGGGAGAAGCAGGCTCCCTGCAGGGAACCTGATGCAGGACTCCATCCCACGACCCCAGGATCACACCCTGAGCCTAAGGCAGATGCTCAACCACTGAGCCAACCAGGCATCCCTCATTGCTGCATTCCTTATATCTGTCTTGTGGAAGTCTGAGCATGTGTATATTCATTTGCTTATTGATGATTCTGTCCTGCATGCATGTAGGACTTCTTGCTTGCATGTGTGTTTCTTTGTGATTGTTAGGAGGCTCTGTGTCTGAAACTCTCTCCTGAGATTTTAATGACAGAGTATGCATCTCTGTATGCATTTATTGGTCCCTGTGTGACTTATTGTGCTTGTGTATGTTCATGACTATCTCTTGGAACTTGAGTGATGGAAAAAATGTGTGTGTGTGTGTTTGTGTGTCTCTGTATTGTGTGTGCGTGTGTACCTTATGTGGACTTGTGTATGTATGGGCATGTGTGTGTCCTGTATGTCTACACACTTTGTCCTATATGCATTTCTATAGGGGGATCTTATCACACGTGTCTGCTTGTGTGAATCTGTGACTCTTTCCTGGTACTTTAGGGTTGGAGTTTGCGTGTGTGTGTGTGTGTGTGTGTGTGTGTGTACCTGCGTATGCAGGAGTATCCGTGTAAATGACTAGGGTGGAACCCAGGCTCCTGATGGGCTGTCTTGGAGACTCATTCTCTACTAGAGGACCTGTGACCTTTTCATGTGCCTGAGTTAATGGGGGTGGGATGCCACTCCTCTGGGGTATACTGGAGGCTGATTGCTGATATCTGATCTTGCTTTCTTGAACACTTTTCCCTCTCCTTCAACACCCCTCCCTCCCTGTCATCTTTTCCCTTTCCACATCTCTACCTCTCTGCTTGGTCCTACCACTTTGCAACCCCTGATTCTCCCATTCCATGCACATCTTCTCCCTACTCCTTCTCCCCCCCCCCCCACCACTTTCTCTGTCTGCTCGCATTTCTTCAGTCCTGGTCGCAGAAGTCATCAAGTTTTACTTCCCCAAGATGGTGGAGATGCACAATTATGTCCCTGCCAACTCTCTCCAACAGAAGCTCAGCAACTGGGGTCACCTAAACAGGTAGCAGAATACCTGGTGCACTACCGGAATCTCCATCCCCTACCCCCGGATCCCAGGCAGGGCTGCCCCAACACCCCCACCCCCACACACATCTCCTAAGGTCTCCAACAGAGTCCTAGAGCCCAGGCTGGGACTCTGTTGGTGACATAACGCAGACAGAATCTGGTAACAAAATCAAGGGACTCTTTTACTGGGGGAGGAGACAAGGAAATGGGATACCTGAGAATCCGGCTTTACCCCCCCCCCCCCGCCCCCCGCCCCAGCCGCACCACTTCCTCCTCCATCACGTCCCTCACTTCATTCCCTGAGGACCCAGTCTGCCATCCCTGTGTCTATCCTCCAGGAAAGTGCTGAACAAACTGAACTTCTCGGTACCAGAGGATGTGATGCGCAAGATCGCTCAATGCGCGCCGGGCGTGGTGGAGCTAGTACTCATTCCGCTGAGGCAGCGCCTGGAGGAACGCCAGAGGCGCAGGAAGCAGGGCACCAGCTCCTTACAGGTGCCACCCTGCTCAAACATCTCCCACTGCTTTGCGGAAGCTTCCCAGGCAGCAGGAAGCCCCACCTTTCTGATAAGTGTGGGAGAAGGGAGTCTGGCAGAGGGAGCCTGGCCTTGGAGACCATGGAATAGATATGGGGTTCCTTGGGGATGAGGGAGCCCGATCTCACAGTACACCCCTGGGCTTCTTTCAGGAGCTGGCTCCTCAGGATGGCACTGGCTACATGGATGTGGGTAAAGTGGCCTTTATTTTTCTTCCCTCCCAGGAGCAGCTTTCCTCCTGTCCTACCTTCGTATTGGGAAAATAGGACTTCTAGCATGGCTAACTCCTCTACTTGCCTTGTCTCAGGTTTGTCCCGGAAGGCCGGAGGGGAAGGTGCCCTGGACCCCCAGGGAGGGGGGCAGCTCAGGTAAGGAAGCTGGGAGTTCCTATCTTACCAGGCCTGGTAATCCCCCAACACTGGCAGGTAAGGGTGGGGCAGGCTGTTCCTGGGAAGGCAGGAACCAGGAGGGGGAGGATTCAGGGGAATGGGGAGGGAGGGCCTGCCCGAGGGACTTTGGAAGGGTGAGAGTGGGGCCCAAGGTCCAAGCCTCTGCTAAGCAGCTTCCCACTCCAGGGAGGGCCGGTTGCCCGGGCCTCGGCCTCCAGGATATAGCCAGGCAGTGCAGGGCGACCCAAGCTTCGTCCTCCAGATCGCGGAAAAAGAGCAGGAGCTGTTGGCCTCTCAGGAGACTGTGCAGGTGAGGGTGCCCTGGGAAGGTGCGGGCAGTGGTGGGGCAATGGGTGCTTAGGGCCTGCGGTGGTGGGGATAGAGGGCAGCAGGCAGCTGACCTAACCTCTGTGCCGCACGACCCAGGTCCTGCAGATGAAGGTGAGGCGCTTGGAGCACTTGCTCCAGCTGAAGAACGTGCGCATCGACGACCTCTCGCGGCGGCTCCAGCAGGCAGAGCGTAAGCAGCGGTGAGCGGTGAGCCGCGAGCCACGGCCCGGTCGGAGCGAGCAGGAAACCCCAGTACCCGCCAGAGCCCAGACACTGCGACCGAAGCACCCACCCACGAACCCACTGGCCTACCGATGGACGAATGGGCGGGCCGAGCCAGCAGGTCCAATGAGCCTCCCGGGGAGCCAACACGTCCCTCCCTTGGGGTGGGGCACGTATGGGGTGGGCGGTGGGGCAGCGAGGCAGGAGCCTTAAGAGCGGAGCCTGGAACTGAGCCACCTTCTTCCACTACATCCGGGTCAGGAGAATGGACCGCTTTCCAGAACCCAGGAGCCACGTGCAGAGACCTGCCATGCTCTCCAAAGCAGCGCCCAACCCCAGGGGCTCCACCTTGATGTTCCCTGCTCTGGGCCTTGAGAGGCAGTGCTCCCGCTGGGTCCACACTCCTAGAAACAGGTCCAAGCCCAGCTCTGAGGACAGTGTTGTCTCCATCCAGGCTAGTTCTCTGCGCTCTGAGCTGTGCAGGAAGCTGCCCCAGGCAGCTGAGGGAGACCCTTGCCTCTCTTGGGCACTCACCTGGGACCCAGATCGAGGCTGGGGAACACAGCAGCTGGAGAGGAAAGGATGAGTGGGTTCAGTGAGGAGTGGGGAAGACATGGGCTGTGCCTGTCCCAATTACTCTCCCTTACTGTGGGCACCTTTGAGAATACTTGGGAGTTATGGTATCACACGGCCCCCATTAAAGAGTTGTGCTATCTTTCCCTTGACTGCCTTCTCTCTCTGTCTAGATTTCTTGCCTCTCTTATGCTGCACTCCGCCACCACCTCCTCCCTTTGAGTGAAAGAGCCTTGTAGGCCCAGAGCAGGGCTCATCTTATGGGCACCTGGGCCCTGGGTAGCCACTGCCTGGTAGGCTGTTGATATCATAGGGGTCAGGTCTTGTGCACTAGAACAGCCTAACTTCTAACCCTGGTCTTAGACTGACCCCCAAATCCATCCTCACAGTGTCAAAACCCAACTCCAGACCCAGGTTAGATTCTCCCCAAATGTAACCACACACCCTCAACTCTGCCCATGGACTGACCCCTAAATCTGTCCTCTGCTTGACTCCCTATCCTGCTCACAGACTCATCCCTAGCTCTGTGAACTGAAGCCAAGCTTGACTCTCAAACATGACCAAGACACTATGGCCATGAAGTGACCCTAACTCTTGATAATTTAGTGACTACTAGAGCATTCTGGAACCCTATGATTCTATTTTTGGACATATACCAAGGGAAATTTAAGTTCTTGTGTTTTGTATTTTGGAACACATGTACAGCGATGTTCACAGTGACAGTCTCTGTAATAGAAAATAATTGAAAAGTATTTGTATTAGCATCCATCACTGTATAAGAAATTACCACAAACTTAGTATCTTAACACACATTTATTATATCATATTTACTGTGGGTCAAGAGTCCAGGCTGGGTCCTTTGCTTCAGAGTTTCTCCTAAGGCTGCCATCAAAGTGTTGGCTAGAGCTGTGGTTTCATCTGAAGTCCTGACTGGGGAAGAAATCACTTCCAAGTTCATGTGGTTGTTGATAGAGTTCAGTTTTTTTTGTAGGCTGTTGGACTGAGGGTTTCAGTTTCTTACTGGTTGTTAGCTGGTGCTGCCCTCATTTCCTTCCCATGTGGTCCTGTCCAGTAAGTATATTAGCTTACTTCACCAAAGCCAGCAAAGGAGAGAGTTAATGGAGTCTGCTAGCAAGATCACAGTTACAATCTTATCTAATGTAATCAGAGAAGTGACATCCATCACATTTGTTGTATCCTATTTATTAGAAGTAAGTCATGAGGTCCAGCCCACATTCAAGGGGTGTGGTACACGTGGGTGTGAATACTAGGAGACAGGGATACTTGGGATCCATTTTAGAAGCTGTATACCACAAAGAGGAAAAAGTAATAAAAGTGTAAAAGCTAGGAGGGTGGTTACCTGTGAGAGGAAGCGGAGGGCAGAGATGCAAGAAGCATGCAAGTTATTTGTAATGTTTTAGTCCTTGGACAGGTGGTGGGTTTACAGGTGTTCATAGTGGGCTGTTTATGGACAAGCAAGAGAGAGTGTCATGAACTAAGGAGTATGCGTAGTCAAATTCTGTCCACCTAAGTTCCTCAAATAATAAATAAAAATAAAAATTGATGACTACTCCTAACCTTGGTCTGAGCCTCTTCTCTGCACTCAGCCTGGTCTCAGGTTAACATTGGCTTTAACCTGACCTTCTACCTTCCCCAAATTAACCACCAACCCTCACCTTCCCCAAATTAACCACCAACCCTCACACATATTGACCTCAGCTCTAGCACTGTTATCTTGCTGTAGTCTGCACTGGGTCTCCAGAGTTCTGTTCTCTGGGTCTGTCATCATGGACCACATCTGTAGATTCCTGTGTGTGGAGCTGATAGGAATGGTTTGTAGAGGGGCTTGGGGACCAGGAGGTGGGTTAGGGTATGGTTCTGCCTGACAGGAACACAGTGGGCCCAGAGTAAAAGTTTGGTGGCAGGGATCACCCTCTCAAGAAACTGCTGACTCTCTCCATGCTAGAGGCTGAGCCAAGTCCTCCTCTTCCCTGAGTTCCAACGCTGACCCCAGCTATTCCTAGTATCCAGATATGCCTGAATCTAAAATCATATCTGAAACCCTACAAATTAAATCTCCAAAACAATGGAGAATTTTATTGAATGTTTCTTGGGAATAAATATGAAAGTGAATTACATCACACATTATAATCCTATAACTCTTCTTTAAATATCTCTCTTGTTCCCCAAGCTTCCAAACTCCAATAGCCATTGCCATATTTCTCCCGCTCTGATCCTTACCCTACTCTTCCCTTTCTGACCCACACTGAATCTGCTTTCTTCTGGTTCATTCATTAATTAATTCTTCAAATGTGCATTTAGTGCCAACTATGTACTAAATGCCAGAAACACAAAGATGAGCATAAAACATGATTTGCCTCTCCAAGCGTTTACAATCCTAGAAGAGAGGAGAAGGCATGCAAAGTGGCACTTAAAATGTTTTGTAACTTAATGTTTTGAATAGAAAAACACACCTAATTAATGCACATAGAAAAGTAAGAAGTCTCTTTGGTGTCCACACACCTCTAATAGGGTTAACCTTTTAGTTTCTGTGCATTCTGCCAAAATGTCTTTTTGTGAATACAAGCAAATATGCACCCTTTTTGTTACTCTCCTCACCTTTTTTTTAACCTTGAAGGGAACACATACTGCCCATTCTGTCCTCTATCTTGATTTCCACTCAATATGATCTTTTATAGATATGTAATGGTCACATGCCAACTTGTTTGGGCCACAAGGTGCCCAGATATTTGGTCAAATATTCTGTGAGGATGTTTTCAGATGAGATTAACATTTAAACTTATTTTTTTTTGAGATTTATTCATGAGAGACACAGAAAGAGGCAGAGACATAGGCAGAGGGAGAAGCAGGCTTTGTGCAGGAAGCCCAATGTGGGACTCGATCCTGGGACTCCAGGATCACACCCTGGGCCTAAGGCAGATGCTCAACTGCTCAGCCACCCAGGCGTCCCTAACATTTAAATTTAAAGGTAGACTGAATAAAGCAGATTGCGCTCCCTAATGTGAGTGGGCCTCATTCAATCAGTTGAAGGCATGAATAGAATAAAGAAGATATCTCTTCCCTGAGTCAGAGAAAATTTCTTCTTCTTGGTGGCCTTTGAACTGGGACATTGACTTTTTTTTTCTGTCTCAGACACTAACTGAAATGTCAATTCTTCCTGTGTCTTGAGCCTGCCAGCCTTTGGATTTGACTTTCCTAGGTTCCAACTTGCTGACTCAATTCTGTAGATCAGCCTCTTTCATCACATTAGCTAATAAATCTCTATCTGTATCACCTATATAATGTGCCTCCATATCATCTGACATTAGTTCTGTTTCTCCAGAGAACCTCAACTAATACAAGATTTTTCCATATCAAAACATTGAAATTTCCTGTTTTTAAAGCCATTTATTTTGTATTGTCTGTACAGAATTTAATTAATCAGTCCTCTCTTTGGATATTTAAGTTGTTTCTAACCTTATTTTATTAATAACAATAATGTAACAATTAATAACCTCATGCATTCATAGTTTAGTATCCTGTGCAAGTATATCTGCACGATCAGTGCCAGAACTGGGGTTGTTAGGACAAAGAATATGTGCATTTGTGATCGTGATATTGTGAAATTTCCTCCACAGGGGCTCAAGGTTCAGAGCAGAGGCTGAAGACTGGCGGCCCATTGCCTTGCTTTGGTTTTGCACAGTATCATGTTTTTACAAAACTAACTGCTGATTTTTGTATTGATGAGAATGTGGGGCAACTGGAACTCTCATACTCTGCTGATGGAGTATGAGTACAACCATTTCAGAGAACAGTTTGTCAGGTTTTTTAAAAAGTTTTTATTTATTTATTCATGAGAGACACAGAAAGGCAGACATAGGCAGAGAGAAGCAGGCTCCATGCAGGGATCCCGACACAGGACTTGATCCTGGGTCTGCAGGGTCATGCCCTGGGCCAAAGACAGGCACCAAACTGCTGAACCACCCAGGCATCCCTGTCAGTTTCATATAAAATGAAATATATGCCTATGCTGTTGTATCAGTTAGAGTTTTATTGGAGAAGCAAAAAGAATTTGTTACAGGAATTTGACTTTGGGTAACTGTTAAATGGTCTCTGTAAGACTATGGTTTTACAACTGATCCTGGAGTTTAAAGCCCACAGGTCAGGCCACTGGGAAGGAAAGAGGGATATAAAGTAGGGGAGAGAAAGGACAAACTGGAATCCATTAGCATAAGCTTGAACCTTTAATCACAAACTGGAACTCGTGTTATTTCCTACTTGATGATGTGGGTGTCCAGCAGTAGAGGCTGGTGCCCTCTGTTATCTGGCCCAAGAGTCAAAGAAGTTGAAGGAGGATCCAGGGAAAGGGGGAGTAGTTGCAGGCCTGACTGTTATCCCATGTCAATGACGTGATCCAGCAGATCAGCAACAAAGTTTATGGGCTACAAAGCTCCTGCCCACATTTTGCAAGTGTACCAATACAGCCACTGCTTTCCTTCCACTCTCCAAATCTCGTGCAAAAATGTCTGTTGTGGCCCACTGTAATCAGAAGGGAATTCTGGAAAATGCAGTTCACCATAGCTAAGGTGATAGATTAAAAAGCTGCCACAGCTATGTTCCAGTAATTTCATTCCTCAATATATACTCAAGAGAAATGCATACATATGTTTACCAAGACAGGTACTAGAATATACAATACAGTTTATACTATTTGGGGGCAGGGGTTCTTTTGCCCAATATTGTCTGTGAGAATCATCCACGTTGTTGCATGCATTCGGTGGAGTTTGTTCTTTGTCATTGCTATAGGAGAGGCCATTGTATGAATACAGTATGGTTTCTTTATTCATTCTGTTGTTGATGGACACTTGGGTTGTCTTCAATTTGGGGTTATTACCAATAGTGCTGCCATGAATATTTGTATTCTTGTCTTTTGGTATGTAACGAAACCAGTGGAATTGTCTGTTCAAAGGGTTGGCATTTTCAGCTTTATTAGATACTGCCCAGAAGTTTTCTAACAAGGTTATGGTTGTTTAATTCTTATTAAAATAGAAATAGAATAGAGTCGGGATGCCTGGGTGGCTCAGTGGTTGGGTGCCTGCCTTCGGCTCAGGTCATGATCCTGGGATCTGGGATTGAGTCCCACATCGGGCTCCCTGCGAGGAGCCTGCTTCTCCCTCTGCCTGTGTCTCTGCCTCTCTCAGTCTGTGTCTCTCATGAATAAATGAAATTTTTTTTTAAAGAATAGAGTCCATAATACCACGTGTTTGGAACTGGAATGTATTCAATCTGTTCTGCTAAATTGGAGTTGTTCTTAACTCCTTCCCATATAACCCCCAATTTCCAGGGAGACTGTGGCTTCCCTCAAAGCTCTGTTAAGGCCCTCTGCACAGGAAGTCCCAGGGCCTGGGCATCAATCTGATATTACCATCCCTCCTCTTGGTGCACAGACCCATTGAGCTGCAATGGGACAGCCATGTACCTTCTAATCTAGCTTCCTCCCAGCACAAAGAATCACATTTTCTCCTGGAAGCTCTCCAGAACCATCTGTACTTACTGTGGCCTTGGGACCTTCCCTGGGAGCCTGTAGTATCCCCAGGCATGGATAGCTCTGTATTAGAGGTCCTTCCAATTGGCTAGTCGGCGATTCTGCCCAACACCTAGGAGTGTGAGATGTGTTTGGCAGGGACAAGAAACCACAACTCTTTGTGTGGCATACCTCCCATCCTGACCTGTGAGTGTCTCTAACTCCAGAGTAATTTGTTTATCATACACACTTAGTAAATATTTGTTTAAAGGAGTTGACAGAAAAAAAAATAATAAAGGAGTTGACAGTAGGAAATGGCCCCAGGCAGTGCCCAGTAAGCAGCTAGTCTCTGTATTTTGAGGAGGGCTGTAGACATTAAAAAGGCAGGCCTTAACTTGGTCTTGAAGGGAGGGTGAGTTTGGCTATGAGAGGTGAGTGGGGAGGGCATTCTATGTAGAAAGGTAGCATAAGGAGGGTATCAGGAAATCAAATGTCTGCACAGACCCAGAAGGTAAAAATCAGTGTGGGAAAAACAGGGATTAGTGGGGACAACAGCAAGTTGATGTGCCAGACTCTGGTGCCAGGCTAGAATGTGAATCCATGTTGTTAGATCTTCTGATATTTCAAAAGGTGAATAAGAAGACAAAGAGGATGAAGAGGAAAAAGAGAAAGAGGGAGAGGAGAAAGAAAAAAAGAAGAGGAAGAATTAGAATTTTAAAAAGTCCTGTATGGGCTAAACAAAATATGTCTGTAGCCCACTTTGAGCCCACTGTCTGCCACCTTTAGACGTTGAAGAATAGTATAGACATGGGAATGCAATTTTTCTTTTGAGGGGGAGCATAGTGGGGCACATAGAACGATGGGGTTGGCAAGTTAGAAAGTATGTGGCAGGAGTCAGAATGTGAAATCTCCTAATGCCCACGCTGGAGGGCAGTATCTCAAACGCCAGAGTGCGCACGAATCACCCAAAATGCTTCCAAAAAGTTTGTGAAGCTCTGCTGGAGACAATTCCAGAGCACGGAGGTTATGGAGCAGGGGAAGATGCGATGGAAACAATAGCTCAGGAAAATTAATTCGCCCACCGTGCGGAGACCAGAGACCATGAGACAGGTTAGGGACCACAGGGATACACAGCGGATGATAGGAGCCTTGGCCGTTCCTCAAAGGCAGCGGCCGAGGTCCTTCTGAAAGGAAGCCGACCCTCCGAGCCATCACCGTCGCTCTCCTAGTTCCACTGTTTGTAAGGAGGGAACCTAGTGCTCCGGACCGCTCCCCGCAGGAAGTTTAGGGACCCTCTCACGGCCAGCGAAATTGGGGGAGGACAGTCGCTCCAGGAGCGCCAGGGGGGCGGCGGCTGGAACACCTAAAGAGCCTAGGGCCACACCTCTCGCCCGGGGGCTCCGTGCAGTTGCCCACACCCCACCCCACCCGCGCGAAACTAGGCGCCTCCCGCTGCCATGGCGACCGCCTCCATGGAGACCAGGAGCAGAGGCTGCGGTCCCTGGAGGCTCATCCCGCGAGCTTTCTTTGTTCTGATGCTTATTCGGGCCGGCCGGGCGAGTCCGTGCGAGAGCGCTTCCTCCCCCTCCGAGAAGGGGGCTGGTGGGTAGATGGGGAGGAGGGTCGCAGAGTGGGAAGGATGGCGGGTTCCTCAGCTCCGGAACAGGACCCAGAGATTCCCATATCGACTGCCGAGGCGGGCTTGGAAGCCTAGTGAGAAAGGCGAGTCCCGCCTCACGGCCGCTCGAGGACACAGAGGCCAGGGGAATCCCATTCCGAGTTAGGGCCCGGGCAGGAGGTGCGGTGCAAGCTCCTCAGTCGAAGTTGGGACGCAGGCGGGGGCTCTTGGAGACGCCCCTCCTTCCCTTTGCCGCTTCTGGCCCACGCCAGCCCCAGGCAGCGTCGGGCGGCCTAGCTGCCTTCATCGCGAGAACTCGCCGGGTCGCGGGTAGGCGTGGGCTAGCCCCGCGCAGCCGCGGGCCCCATGCACGTGACACGGTGGCGCAACGCCTGTTGGCGGTTCTCTGGCGCCCGCTCATTGGTCGGAAGCGCTCTCGCCCCACCCCCTCGGCGGGCCAATGGGTAGAGGTAGGGGGCGTACCCATGAGGCGGGCGGCGGCGGCGGCGGCGCGGGCGCGGGGCTCGCTCCTCGTGCTCGGCGTTGAGCCCCCGCTGCCGCCGCGACCGCCACGGCCGCCGCTGTGGTGGACCCTTCCCGACCGGCCCTAGGGTGCGCCCTGCACGGTGAGACTGCTCCTCCGCCCGCCACCTCCCAGTTCCGCTCTGCTCGCCGAGATGCACTCCCGTGCCGGGCAGTCGGTGACTGGGACCCTGCGGGGCTGGGGCGGCGGCTCCGCCGTGGGGCCGCACACGGGAGTGCTCCCTGGCAACTGAGCTGGGGAAATGTCAGGCCTGAAGCCGCGGGTGACCGTTAGGTGGTGGAGCGGGGATGTTTTCCGCGGCGCGCCGTCGGGGGCACGAGTGACACAGCGAGGGCGGGGGCGTAATGGGGTCAGCACCGTCAGCATTCCCCCTCCCCCGCTATTGTCACGCCTCGCTGTGTGACCTTGGACAAGTAGCCTCTGAGCCTCTCTTGCCTGGGCACCTACGGGGAGGAGGGCGGTGATACCGGGGAGTGCAGGCTCCTGAGACTCCTGCGTCAGCAGAGGTGAGGGTGGGAAGGGACAAAGCTGCCGCCTAGAAGCCCTGGAGGGGTGTGGTGGAGGGGGAACGTCTAGCTGCATCGGTCCCCCTAGAAAATGAGAAGGGGGCGGTGATGGGCCACCACACCCACGGGGATAGAGGCAGGAGAGGACAGGGTCCTAGACCTGGGCTCCTGATGCCTTTGGGGGCTTGGCCAGCACCTTCCTGTCATCTCAGCTGGAGGGGTTTTATGTAGGTTCTGGACCTGAAGCCCTGCTGGACTGAGAAGAGAATCTTTGGGTTGCCTTTCCTCTTAAATCTTGGCATTGGGAAGTGGGGGTAGGGCATTTCTCTCCCAGGGAGCTGAAGAAGGTCAGGAGCAAGTGCCACCACCCTCCCCCCCTTCCCCCCCCCCCCCCACTAGGCCTGGCCTCTACTTCTTGGGGCCTTCAGGTGACAGGCTCAGGGCAAGCACCGGGTGGGGCAGGCAATCTAGAGTTCGAGAAGGGTCTAAGGACCCCCTAGCTGGGGGATGGGGGGTTTTGAGAAGGGAATGCTGGGCAGAGGAGGATTGCACATTTTGTGGATACACGAGGGGGTGGGATGGTGGGAGTCTCTTCCCTAATTCACCCCTGCTTGTGAGAAAGAGAACACCATACTTATCCTTGCACTTTTGGCCTGGTGGAGGGAGGAGGAAATGGAGTCCCATCCAGACTGAGTTGATGTATAATTGCCACAACCAAACCGACATCCAGTTTTGCCTTTTCAGGCCTTGTCCTAGGTATGTGGTTCCCTTACTATGTACCCAGTTCTATATCAGGTTCTGGAGTTAGCAGGTCGGTGTGGTCTCAATGGGAGCTCTGTTTACAAGCTTGAGCTTTTTTTTTTTTTTTTTAATTTTTTTATTTATGATAGTCACACACAGAGAGGCAGAGACACAGGCAGAGGGAGAAGCAGGCTCCATGCACCGGGAGCCCGATGTGGGATTCAATCCCGGGTCTCCAGGATCGCGCCCTGGGCCAAAGGCAGGCGCCAAACCGCTGTGCCACCCAGGGATCCCACAAGCTTGAGCTTTAATGAGAGGCTGGACCAGGATTGAGCCGTGGGTTTGGGTGGGGCAGAGTGGGGCCAGAGAGGGGGTGGGGGGGTGGAGGAGGGGTGGGGTGGAAGGTTGTGGAGTATCCTGGCTCAAAGTCCTTGAACAGGTTGAGAATGGAGATGGAGGAATAAATGAAAAATGAGACCCCAGGAGTTTGGGGCCTTGCTCCCAGCCATAAACCAGAGGACAAGCTGGGGCTCGCCCTGTGGTGCCTGGGATCTAGGAGCTGCTTCCAGGGCAGGGAGGTGTGGTATAGGTGTGCAGCTGTGGAATGGAGGGTATGTTCTGGAGCTCCACTTTGCGGAGGACAGACTGTCCTGGTCCTCCCTCCTGTCTGGAACCTTGGGTCCCAGTGTGGGGCAGCCTGGAGTAGCAGCTAGCACCCTGTGGGGCTGGAGTCTAGGGGGCTGAGAACTCTGGATATCTGTGTAACTGTCTCTTTGTCCATTTGTTTGCTCACTTGTCATGTTCCTGGGCCTTCTCCTGCCAGAAGTTCCACCAGGCCTGGCTGAGCCCTGACCTGTGTAGGGTAACCTTGAAGCAGCCTTTCTCTCTAAAGCTGAGAGGGAATTCAGCTCTGTCTCCCAGAGAGAAGCTTCCTTCAATTTCCCTGAGAATAACAGAGCCAGAGAAGCCCCCACCAAGGCCCTTCCTTGTTCCAGCTTCCGAGCGGGCCAGCCCTCCCCATCCTGTGACTGTCCATGGTATCACTGATGACCTGTTCACAGCCCAGCTAAGCTGGGATGGGGGCTGACCTTGGTGTCCTTTTGTTTTTGTTGTTGAGGAGGGGGCATTTCTCAGGATATACACTCCTCACATCTTCCTCTGGTTGAAGGGGACAGTGGACTCTCAGCAGTCTGCTCTCTGGTTATCCCTGGGGGACCTGGCTAGCCTGGGAGTGGGGGAGGAGGGAAGCGGGAGGAGGGAAGGGGAGGGGGCCCCTCAACCCTTGAGCTGTTTTCTGAGAAGGCTGAAGTCCCTGGGGCCCCCCCTGAGGGCCATTCCTGACTGTTCCAGGATTAGACTGAAGAGCCTCTCCACTGGTGCTGCCCTGAAATTGCTGTTGCTTCAGAAACCAGGCCTTTGGGATTTGCTTTTGCAAAGATGAGGGCAGAGCGGGGAGTGCCAGCAGAGCTTCAGGTATCGGCTGCACCAAACCCTCAGAGGAAGAGGTCACTGCTTATTCCTGTGTTATAGACGAGGAAACTGAGGCACAGAGACTCCGAGTTAACTTTCCAAGCTGCCTAAATGTGAACCAGGACTGCTGGGCTCTGGAGCCCGTGCTTGTGACCATGTCCCTCCTGTCTCTGTGACTGCAGCTTGGACCACATTCAGGACGTGGCTGGCACAGGAGGAGGCCTGGGGTTGTGAGGGGACCCAGCAGTTCCTATGGATACAGCTGCAGCAAAGGGAGATGGATCCCCTCTCCTCCCACTTCTGATGAGGAATTGTGTTTGAATGAGAATATGGCTCCCAGGCGACCTCGACTGACAGGGCTTTCTGCTGAGAAAGGAGGCTTGCTTCTTTCAGCCTCCTCTGGGCCCTTTAAGTCACTTGCCTTCCATCTCCGTGTTCTCACTGCCCAAGGGTTACGGGCAGGCCTGATTGAGCTCTGGGCAGTGCAGGAGATGCTGGTCTTGCCCTCAGGGGGCATTCCATTTCAAGGGAAGTAACTGTGGCAAGGCCAGAATAATGCCCAGTGGGAAGCCATGTTCTGCGAGATGGGGGGAGGGGAGGACCCTCTGGAGTAAGAGTTGGCTAAGAGTGGGGTGGGGTGTTCCTCTTTCTGAGAGCTTCCGGTATAGAGATACTGGCCTTGACATGTCACATCTACCTAGAGGTCCCAACCAAGGCCCATGCTTGGGTTCCCCTTAGTTTGGTTATTCATTCATTTAACAAATATAACTGGACCCAGCTGCTCCCTGCCCCATGCTAGGCTGGGTAGTGTGTACACAGGGTTTGGCACAAACATAGTCACTGCTCTGGCAATGTGGGGAACATAAAATGATCCTAGAAGCTGGGAAAGGGGGTCCTTTTATTTATTTAATTAATTTTTTTTAAAAAAAGATTTATTTATTTATTTATTCAGAGAGCGAGAGAGAGAGAGAGAGAGAGAGAGGCAGAGACACAGGCAGAGGGAGAAGCAGGCTCCATGCAGGAAGCCTGATGTGGGACTCGATCCCAGGTCTCCAGGATCACACCCTGGGCTGCAGGCGGTGCTAAACATATTTCATGAATTAATTTATTTAATTTATTTTTTAAAGGGGGTCCTTTTAAAGATTTTTAGGCCTATCTTGGGATGGGAGGTGGTGAGGTAGAGTTGTGTACCCTAAAAAAGCCCTTGGGCTGAGAATGAGCTTAGGTATTAGTTGGGGGCAAGGGTTGTTCCAGGCCAGAGGGAGAGTCTGGATGAAGACAGGCAGGCAGTAGGCAGTGGGTTGATAGGGAAGACAGGGAGGGGGCTCTGCATGTAGTGGGTCAGAATATTTGTGGAAGGAGTCTCCAGGAGCCTTTGCTTACCAGCCACTGGTTAAGAGTTTCATCTGGGTCTCTGGGAAGTGTCTTGGGAGATGGAGGGACCTTGTAGACATGGAGCTGTCATTCCTGTGTGGCCAGAGCAGCCTCTGCACAAGGTAGGAAGAGGGCCTGGTATGCTTTTGGCCATTTTTCTCATGTTTTGAATCCACAGCTTCAAGGGATGGCTAGAGTGGGTGGGGTTGGGGAGGCTTCACTTCAACGGCCAGTCTGTCTGGGGACAAGCTGAGCATTCCAGGGCTAAGGGGCTGCCCTTCTGGGACTGACCCCAGAGTGGCCCTGGCCAGAGATAAGTGGGGAGATAAGTAGTTCCGTTCCCTATACCCTGGGCCTGGGAGCTAACTTCCAGTGGTGGCGGTGGTGGGGTACTGGCCTGAGACCTGAGACCAAAGTCTTGCCTTTCCCTGTAGCTCCTTAGGCCTTCTGCCTGAGGGTTCTTGGTTCCTGTCTGTTCCTGTCCACCCTGCCCATGAGGTGCTTGGGGCTGGGTGGGCTTCTCTTGCACTGGAAAGTGAAACGGGAGTTGAGGCCTGCTCCCAGGGCAGCTTGGTACCTAAGGGACCTTGAGGTTGTGTCCTCTACAGCCCAGCCCCCAACTAGGAGGGCACCCTGTGGTTTCTCTTTGCTCCTTGGATTAGCCAAGGTCTTTCATGGTTTACTCCTCTCTAAATACTTCAGCCCATTTCTCTGAAAAATAAGGACATATGTCTCTATACGATACAATTCCATTATCTTACCTAACAAAATTAGCTTTTATTTCTTAATGTCACCACGCAAGATCCAGTCCTATTCATGTTTTCCAATTATCTCCAAAATGTCCTTTTTAAATAGGTAATTACAAACCCCTTACCCCATTTATTTTTCTTCTTGTAGCTGATATAGTGGAAAAAACCAGGTCAGCTGTCCCATTGAGCACCCTGCCTTCTTGTTCTCTTTGTGTGTTAATTTAGAGCAGTGGTTGGCAAACTTTTTCTGTCAAGGGCCAGACGGTAAATATTTTAGATTTTGCAGGCAGGCCATGTGGTCTCTGTTGCAACTACTCAAAGGAGCTTTGCTTTAGTGCAAAAGCAGTTTTAGACACCATTTAAACAAAGGAGTGCAGTTTTGTTCCTTTTTTTTTTTTAAAGATTTTATTTATTTATTCATGAGATACACACACACACACACACACACACACACACACAGAGGCAGAGACACAGAGGAGAAGTAGGCCTGATGCAGGACTCGATGGACTTGATCCTGGGACCTGATCACGGGACCTGATCCTGGGACCCCAGGACCTTGCCCTGGGCTGGAGGCAGGAGTCAAACTGCTGAGCCACCAGGGATCCCCTTGTCCAATACCACTGTAGAAAACGTCCGCCTCAGGCTCTGGCTGGCCCATCCCCTATCTAGAACAACTACCACTCCCTTAATTTTCTTGTAGTTTGGGGGGAAAAAACCCAAATGATGGGTCAGTTGTCCCATAGAACATTCTGCCTTCTGGATTTGTTTCTTCCCCGGGGAGTCATCTCATGTATTCTACTCACCTCAGCCTTTTGAGTCAGCAGGAAGTTGGAACTAGGGGCTTCCTTAGATCCAGATTAGACATTTCAGGCAGGACCTCCTTGTCAGTGATACTGTGACTTCATGCTGCCTCACCTCAGGAGGCCTCTATGGTCAGTCTGTCCCAATGTGAGTGACAGGAGACTGACGGGTGTGTGTGTGGCTGACACCACATCCCTCCACTGCAAACCTGGGTCAGTCCCCTGAAGAAGCTCAGACCATGTGTCAGTGGCACTTGGGTATCTGTGAGCACCTACTTTTGTCAGCCTTTGTTCTTCTGGTTGAGGATCCCCGGACTGCCCCCCACCTCCAGCATTTGTTTCTTTGGCGGCTGCAGCATTATTTAGCATTTGGTCATTCCTTTGTTATTTAATAGCAAGAATTCTTCTGAAAAGAAGAGGTTTCCTTTAGCCACCTGGATGATTTGGTTACATGAAAGGCTAAGGGGCAGGCCAAATTATTTATCTTTATTGCCAATTTTCTTAAAAAAAAAAAAGGCTATTTATTTGAGGGAGAGAGAGAGAACTCCTGCTTGGTGGGGAGGAAGGCAGAGGGGCAGAGAGAGAGAGACAAGCAGACTCTCTGCGGAGTCTGGAGCTCAACACAAGGCTCAATCCCATGACCCTGAGGTCACGACTGGAGCCGGAGCCATAATCAAAAGTTGGATGCTTAACCAGCTGCGCCACCCAGGCACGCATCTTTATTGCCAATCCTCAGAGTAAAGAGTTAGGGCATTGCTGCTGTCATGGTGACAAATGAGGGATGGAGTTTATTTTGCTTTGTCTCTTTTTTCTTATCTCTGTGAATGCTGCAGTTTTATGTATTCCATCTGTTTTCAGCAGTTGCGCTCATTATTCTTCTTGAAGCTTAGATGGTCCCAGCTTGGCCCATTAATGGCCAGGCTGCTCACACAGGCTTCCTGGGGGTGCCTCCTGCTGCCCCTGCCCTGAGGCTGCCCTTGGGGCATTGAGCCAGGAGACTAGTTCAGAGACTCAGGCCAGAGGCTGAATGGTGGGTTGCCATGGGGCAGCCCCTTCACCCAGCTCTGTTCTGTTTATGGCTCTGACCTGCTATCAGGAGGGAAGCTCCAAGGGCCCATCTTCTGTGGGCCCTGTTTCTTGCTTTCTTTCATGCATATTGTTGACTCTAACCTGGACCAGCTGCACTGGGTGTTTCACCTGAATAACGGGGCATCTGGCTGTAGGAGGGTGGAGCCCTTGGGGTCACTGGCATGAGAAGTAGCCTCTGAAAAGTGCCAGTGAGGTCCCCTTCCTTTCCAGGCAGCCTTTCCTGCCAGCCTCAGGTGGGTTGGATACAAGAGTCCTGTACCAACTCTGGCACCCAGAAGCAGCAGCTCAGCACATGCTGGCAAGGCTCTGGGGCAGCAGGGCATCAGGCAGGAGTGAGGGCCCTTGGGGAACATGCAGAGTGGGGAGCAGAAGCGCCCCCAGGCTAGAAGGTACAAGCACCCTTTGGCTGGTGAGAGCAGCAGGGGGTTGAGTTTTAGTGTCTTCCCTAAAGGGAGATCTCTGCTTTCCCCCAGCCATGGGCCCCGTGGGTGGCTCTGACCCCTGCCCTCTCCACTCCCCACCCTGTAGGCTCCCACTGGTGTCCCTGGAGCATGGGAGGCTGCTGCGCTTGAGTGGCTGAGTCTGGCAGGAGCTGCGTGTCTTACCCTGTGGCAGGGAAGGCATCCATGGCTGCAGCCAACAAGGGTAAGTGCCTTCCTGGCTTGGGAGGGTGTGCATGAGTCTTCCAGTGGGCTCTGGCAGGAGGGGTATTGTTGCATGTGGGGCCTTCATTGGCTGTGTGTGTGTGATATACATTACATCAGTGTAATTATACCACTGTTTGTGCTGGATCCCGGTACTGACCCAAGCCCTAGCAGGGAACCTGAAGACTCATGCTGGCTCCTTGGTGTGCTGATTTGTGGAGGGATGTGCCCCTATGTCCCCAAGTTCCAGCTTTCCTATTCCATTGCAGTGGCTAGGGGGCAATAGTCTTGGGGTGACGAGGTAGCTAGGGCCACAGGAAGCTACAGAAGGGAATTTGGGCTTCATTTAGCATCCAAAAAGGCTCATAGAGGGTTTTGGGCAAGGGAGGCTAGGTAAAATTTGAGGGTCAGTTCCCAGGGGCTCAGCAGGGCACCTAGCCTGCATCCCTAGGCTTCCACCAAGTATCTGAGAACTCAGGCCAGGCCTGGCCCAGCCCCTCCCACCACAAGGACTCTGGGCAAAGCTCTTGGGAGGCCTAAGGGCCATAGCTGTGGGCCAGAGTATTGGGGTCCTGTTCATGGCAAGATGTACCTCCCCCAGCCCAGGCCCTCAGCCCAGTTCCAACTGTTCTGCCTATCTCAACTCCCTGCCTCCTGGCTTTGGAGAACTGGACCCAGGTAGGGACAGCTGATGGCCTTGTGTGTGTGTTAAATAGAGGAGGGAAGGGTGTCTTTGGGAGGGGTCTGAGAGGCTGCCCTGGGTACTTCCATCTTTCTTGCTGATGATCAGTGATGAAGTTTAGGGACAGTTGCAGCCTCTTCTGGGTGGGCTCGGTGTGGTTTCTGGCCTCCCTTTGTTTCTCTCACCCTCAGAAGGGTCCCACAGAGCCTGTTCCAGTCCCCACTCCCTTCTTCTCTCAGTTTGCAGTCGTCAGGAGGGGCAGGCAGGGGCCTTGGCACTCATAGACCTGTAAGAGATCTCAGCAATGGGGAGCTCGCCACTGTGAAGGAGAGCACTGGGCAGGGTACCCAAGGCCCAGGCTGAATCTGCACAACTTGGGGCTTGCCGAGAGTCTGGAGGACTCTTATTATCTCTGTCATCTGCCTCATCTCTAAGTAAGGGGTCATACTAGCCAATCCCTGACACACCCATTCCCAAGGTGCTTATATTTTGTGGGAGGACTGGGCAGGTAGGGGCCTTAAGCCTCATGACCGCTAGTATCCAGTAGGATATGCCCTAGCCCTGAAAGGAGCCCAGCTAGTGGGTGCTAAGTGATGTCAAGGGCAGTTGCTAGGGGTGTGTGTGGGGGTGTGTGTGACAATGGCAAGGGGGAGTAGAGGAAGCCCGCAGCCCCTGGAGCCCTTTCTCATTCTCTTCTTAGGCAATAAGCCCAGAGTCCGGAGTATCCGCTTTGCAGCAGGCCACGATGCAGAAGGCTCCCAGAGCCATGTCCACTTTGATGAAAAGCTGCATGACTCTGTGGTCATGGTCACCCAGGAGAGTGACAGCAGCTTTCTGGTCAAGGTACGTGCACACCTCCCCGTGCCATCTGCCTGACTCCCTCTGCCTGCTGCCTGGCCCTGCCTGGCTTCCTGGGCCTGTCTGTTCCATTTCTTCTAAGCTGGCTACATAGGCACATCTGTGTCCCTACCTCAGCCTTGGTCTCACTGTTTGTAAATGGGAGGTGGTGAGATTACAATGAAATGAGTACCTTTAGAATGTTACTCAAACAAGTGGTACGGAGCTGTTGTTATCATTGTCATCCCAACAATGACATCCACTCCCCACCCTGTAGATGGTTGTGTCAAGGCAATGGAAGGTGGTGTCAAGGCTTGGGATACTGCACATCAGGTCCAGGCCTGCTATTCTGGAGCTGTGAATTTGGACAGGTCACCTCAGTTTCCTCTTCTCTGAAATGAAGACCGTTTCCATCCCAGAGAGTTGGTGTGAGAATGAGATAAAAGAATGTATGTGTGTCACACAGGTGTGAGGCCAATTCTGGTGATAACAAGGCGTGACTTTACTTACTCTTCTTTGCCAAACCTCTGGCTGCTTAAGGGTCTCTGTGGTATTAATGCTTACTGATCACCCCTATGTTTTCTCCTGGGTGGAGGACCCACCTCTCCCAGTGGTCACACCTCACACACACCCCAGCATGGCTTCTCCAACTTCTGGGGCACTGTCACATCCCACATCCACTTGGGAGGGGCAGGAGGAAGTGTCTGGAGGGGACAGATTGGTGGAGAAACAGGGAATGAGCCCCTCATGAGGTTGAACAATAAGCCAGGGCTCTGGAGTTGAACAGGAATGCCCTAGCAAGGGGAAGGCATCTGGTCCATGGAGACCTCCCTGAGAAGGGGTCCAGATTCATCATTTCTGCCCAACTGTAAAATCCTTGCTCTTTTCCTATAGCTGACAGCTTCCTCAAGGGAATTAACAGAATGAATCAAAACTTTAAAGAATAGCTCTCTCTCCCCTTCTTTCCCCATTGCAAAACCCATTGACATCTATTGGGGAAAACTTGGAAGCTAGAGAAAACTATAAAGAAATTTAAAAGCACACACCATCATACTATCCAGACACAACAATAGTTAATATTTTGGTTTGTGTTATTTCAGCCTTTTTTTTTTTTTTTTTTTTTTTTGCTTTATTTCCAAAAACAGCTGGTATCACAGCGGACACACTGTTTTTTGTTTGCTTATGTTGTGAACCATCTCCTGTCTATGTCAGTAAATAATTTTCCATGAGATTTTCCAGTTGCCTGGTATTCCATTAAATGTATCATCATTGATTTAGCCAGTTCCCTATTCCTGGTACTAACGACTGTTTCTGTTTTTTACTGTTACAAATGGGTGCAGTGGTGAGTGTTTTTTGCACATCTCTTAGGATTTCCCCTGAAAAATTCTGCAACTGGTGCAGCTGGACCACAGGGTCACCATTGGTGAGATAGCCAGAAAGCCCTCTTGAGAGGTGGGTCCTCCACCTGCAGCATGAGAGAGCCACATGGACTGACCTTTAGCATACACTGATGTCTGCCTATCCCATTGAAAAGCTAAACACTTTATGCAGCCAGTCCTAACAAGCCCCAGTGACAGGGCTGTCCAGCTCTTGCAACTGTGAGCAAGCCAGTGTGTGTGTACATGAGTTGTAGGTACAGTGTGCACCTCTGTGCCTCCTGGACTGCACTCTGGTTAGCCTGCCCGCTCAGCAGCCACCTCAGCTTGTGTCCCTTCACATGGCTGGACTTACCCAGGTTGGCATCTCTCCCAGGGGGCATTGGTTGCCAGTCACTGTGTATGAACAATAGAAAGGGCTTGGGCCATGAGCTGGGGCTTTGGGCACACTGAGCCTTTGAGTGGGCAGGCAGGCATCCACATTCAGGTGCCAGCAGGGTTCAGTAGCTGGTGCCCAGGGGCCAGCTCTAGACTGACAAGCTGATCTAGTGTCTTTTTCTAATTCTGTCTCCTCCGCCATCCCGTGTAATCTGTGTTGCCCCTGTCTCCACATGAGTGACTAGAGGACCAGTGTCCCTGACCCCAGGCTATTGGCTCTGGGCAGGTGTTGGCAGTGGTGGAGGGAGGTGAATGATCTGTATTGTGGGACTTTGAGCTTCCCTTTTTGGGCAATGGCAAGTGCCTTGCTATGTGCTACATGTGGCAGGAGTGGCCCAGACCTCTAGGGAGAGCTTTACCCTGGCCACACCGTGCGGACTTCAGCCACTCACTGGCTTCCATCTATAAAATGGGCCACCATTTGCTGTGGGGCCTGTGAAACATGCTGAGCAGCAAGCTGAGGGAATGAGGTCCTCAGGCAAAGGGCCTGGGAGCCATTGGGCTTGGGGCGTGTACAGGCTAGAGTGCTGGAGGGAGTTAGGCCCCCTCTGGGATCCCTAAAGCAATGGGTGCAGGGGCCCACAGGATCATAAGAGGCAGGACCTGGGTGGGCCCTGGGGAGGCTGAGAGTCAAGGTGCTCCTCCTTTCCCCCTACCTTTCTGCTATAGGTTGGCTTCCTGAAGATCCTGCACAGGTATGAGATTACCTTCACTCTGCCCCCAGTGCACAGGCTGAGCAAGGACATCCGAGAAGCACCAGTCCCCAGCCTACACCTCAAGCTCCTCAGCGTCATGCCCGTCCCAGAAGGTGTGTCCCTTGCTCAGGTGCTGGAGGCCTGTTCTCCTGTTCTCTTCCAGCAGGAAGTAAGCGGGAGTGAGAGCATGGGTGCTATCCCCCCTTCTAGGGTGGATGGGCAGTTCAGCAATTGGGGGACATGAGGCCTCCTTATGGGCTTGCAGTGTGGCATTTCGGGAGGTCCCATACCTCAGGCCTTGGGGTTACACTACTGGCCCGTGCCTGTGTGTCACCTTATAGTTCCCTCAGTGGGGTCATGGAGCCAGTGAACTGGCTCTGGGCTTCCAGCTCTCCCTCCTGCCTGTCCCTTAAGAAAAATCTGCCAGAGCCCCAGGAATCCTGGGCAGCTACCTCCTAGCACCCGCCAGGCACAGGCTTCAGACTTGGGGCTGCTACTCCCTACCCTGCCAACTCTTCAAGTCCTCTCCTGCCCCTGCAGAGGTTAGGGTATCAGTTTCACAGTACGCTGACACCCCAGCTTCAGTTTCATGTCCCCCTACTTCCTCTTCATGATCTTTCCCTTAAGTGTATTGAGCTCCCTCCCTCTGGCCTTTACCTCTTGCCACCACATATGCTCAGGGCTTGCCCTGCCCCTCTTTCCCCACCACCCCCTCTCCTTGCTTTCCTTTTTGGGGAGCCAGTGGGTCTTCCTCCTGGAAACTTGAGTTTGACCCTTGGAGCCCTAATGGGGTTGTCCACAGTCTGGAGTCACGTAGAGCTCAGTGAAGAGTGAGAAGTTTCCAAGGCCTATTTGCCCAGCCCTGGGCAGATAGGTCCTAGGCCATCCTTACTCCTTTGGAGGAGGTGGCCAGTCTTGGTGGCATGCTGAGGCCAGTGAGTGCTGGGAGAGGCAGGGGTGGAGACCATGGAAATGCTGATCACCTGTGCAGGTTACAGTGTCAAGTGTGAGTACTCAGCGCACAAGGAGGGCGTCCTGAAGGAGGAGATGCTGCTAGCCTGTGAAGGTGGCGCTGGCACCTGTGTGCGAGTGACAGTGCAGGCCCGCGTCATGGGTGAGTGTGTGAGCCTTGTGTCTGGATAGAGGAGGGAGGTGCCAGCCTGGCTGCAAGGGGTTTCTATCTTCCTTGTCTGAAAAAGGGATTCTTACCCTGGCCCCCTGGATACCCGGCTGCCTTTCTCCCCACCCTCCTAGCAGAGCCCAGAGGGAAGGTGGGGGAGGGGCCTCCAATGAGTGGGTGGGGCCAAGGGGCCAGCCTGGCTTCCTGATTTGTCATCTGCCTTGCAGACCGACACCACGGCACACCCATGCTGCTTGATGGGGTCAAGTGCGTGGGTGCTGAGCTAGAATACGACTCAGAGCACAGCGACTGGCACGGCTTCGACTGAGGCCTGAGGCCCTGCACGCCTCGGGCCCCCACAGCCTTAAACCCCACCTCATCTCCCCGAATGCTGTGTGATGGTGTGGCTTCCTCGCCCCTCCCCGGGGTGGGGGCAGGGGTGGGGTGTCTAGGGGCCTCTCACCTCTGCCTTCATTGTGCCACCTCCCTGCCTCTCCTGCGTCCTCCTCTCCCACTTCCTCCTCTCCGTGTGCCTCAGTCTCCTGCCAGAAGAAATGGGTTGAGCCCCCAAGGAGGCTATCTGAGGAGGGGAGGGGGGCGCCTGGGGTGGGTTCTGCCCACCCCTACCCCAAGCCATAGGGGATCTAGCCAGGGCTTGGGAGAGGAGGGAGCTGGCTCTGTGACGTCGTCACTCCCATTACTGCTGCTGCTGGCTGGCTTTAGCCCTCCCGTGCTCCCTCCCTCTTTCCTACTGCTGTCAGCGCTGAGTAGGAGGGAGGCGCAGTCCCCAAGCCCTAGCCCCCAGGTCTGTGTTACTTGGTTTTTAAAGGACTGGTTGGGATAAAACCGTAAAGAAATAAAATTTTCAGTGGATACCAGATGCCAGCCAGTGTTTGTTCTTCGATGCTCTCAGAACACCCACAATCGGGATCCCTGGGTGGCGCAGCGGTTTGGCCTTTGGCCCAGGGCGCGATCCTGGAGACCCGGGATCGAATCCCACGTCGGGCTCCCGGTGCATGGGGCTCTGCCTGTGTCTCTGCCCCTCTCTCTCTCACTCTCTCTCTCTCTCTGTGACTATCATAAATAAATAAGAATTAAAAAAAAAAAGAACACCCACAATCCTCTGCAGACAGGCTAAGGAACAGTTTTGGCTATAATCATTTTTTTAGGAGGCAAGGGCACTCCGTGGTATTCTAGCACCTAGCCCCCAAAGAAGTGTGCACGTGTGGTATTTTAGGCCTGGGAAAAGCTGACTAGAGTAAATGGGGAGGAGCCTTCTGCCTGGGCCTGAGAGAGGTCTTTGGTAGTGGCGAGTTCTGTTTGGGATGTTTGACAGAGAGCAGCGCCCCCTTCTGGTCAGTGTCCAGCTCTGCGCAGAGCCGAAAACACTCCCTTTTTTGAACCAGCCCCCTCCACTACTCCTCTGTTGGGGTCCTCTCTTGTGAGGTATCAGCAGGCTATACCCCACCTGAAGCATAAATGCTTTATTGTCACCTTAGGGTTTTCAGGCAGGTGGGCAGCTGCACGTCATGGGTGGGGAGGTAATGTCCCAATGGCACACTGAGTTGATGGCAGAGCCAGGATCAGCCCTTAGTTCTCCAGTCTCCCTACAGTCCTCCAACCTCCTACTGTCGGTGGCTGGGAGAGGGTGCAAGCGGGTCATTCATAGGCTGCCCTTGGGGCCTTCTCAGATGAGTCATTTGCCCTGATTGAAGGCCCCCCCAGCCGGCTTCCCCCACATCTTCTCATAAGTGCCTTCATCCCGTATCCTTCTCATTAGCCTGTTAATTGAGGCACTTTAAAGATTAGCAGTCATACTTGGATGGCCCGTACCACACCCGGGAAGGTCCCATACCCCTGTGCCGCTTGTGCCAGCCTCCAGCCATTTATCTACACCGTAGGGTTTCTCTGTCCAGCGCCCTGTGCTGGCTACGCCCATCAGTCCATGTGCTGGGGCCTTCAGGCCCAAGCTCTGCACATCCCCCGTCCTCCTGCAGCCGCCCTGGCCGGCCTCTCCCAGCTACCTCCACCTCCCACCCAGTTCAAACTGTGGTTTGGTCTTCTGGTGCATGCTGCCTTAGAGGTCACGTGCCCCCCGTGAGCACACCGTCCTACAAACCTTTTCCCAGTCCTTGACCTCAGCCCTTGGCAGAGCATTTCAGCCTTCCAGTCAGCGGACCCGGGCCCAATTCCAAAGCTAGAGTCTGTCCCCACCCATCCTGCGACCTCATCTTCCCGGGCAAAAGGGAGGGGGAAGAGGCGCTGACTTCAGAACCAGCAGCTTTGTCCACCCGAGCCGAGCCGGCGCCCCAGACCCGGGACCGCAAGAGGGCGGGGCCCAGCACAGGGTGGGGCTTGGCACCGCGCCCCGCGCGCGCCCTCAGTGGGAAAGAAAGTCGATGGCGGCGCGCACGGAGCGATTGGTGCTGACGTCGACGGCGGTGACCTTAATCTCGGTGTCGCCGAACTGCATGGCGGCGCGGATCTCGCGGCGGCCGGGGACCGCGCCTTCGGAGGGCTCCAGCTCAAGGCTGAGCGCGCCGCACTTGCGCACGCCCGGGTCGGTGATGAAACGCGCGTCCTCGGCGGCGCAGCAGTACAGGTTGATGAGCACGCGCCGCTGGCCCGGCCGCGCTGGGCAGTAGCTGCGTCTCACCTCCTCGCCCAGGGCCACCGACTGCTCGGCGGCCACGAAGCGCTCGAAGACGTCGGTGCACCAGCGGCGGCCGTCGCGGACCAGCAGTTTCTCGGGCGGGTGGCGCCCGGCCACGAAGCGGTTGAGCACGCCCACGCCGTAGGTGAGCGGCGAGCGGCGCACGCGCACCACGCCCGGCGCCTGCCCGAACAGCACGGCGCCCTTGAGGATGGTGAGACCCACGTCGTGCGGGACCACCACGCGCAGGCCGCGGGCGCCCAGCGCCGTCTGCACCGCGTGCTGCAGCACGGCCGACTCGGCAAAGCCGCCCACCAGGAACAGCAGCTTCACGCCCTGCACCTCGGGCCGCGCCAGCAGCGCCTCTGCGGGGGGGGGGGGGGGGGCGGAGGTGAGAGCTTGGAACAGGAGGTGAGAGAGCACCAGCCGCTGAGGCCGCCTCGCTGCGGCCACAGGCCCCTCCCCTCCGCCGTCCTGTACGCAGCTGGCAACTAGAAACTAGCTATTTCACTCTAAAACAGTAGCCAGGTTCTGATGAAGAAAAACCGAGAGTTTTCATTTAGTGCTTCTGGCAGTCTTCGCGGGCTCTGCTTCCCCAGCATGCTACCCCCTTTCCTTTCCCACCACAATGTGGAGGGCTAGATAAGGATACGCATTTACACGTACTAAGTGTCTACTGCCGAACTGTGTGCGCATCTCTAGATGTTTCAGCTCATTGAAATCCCTGGGATAACAGTTTTGGGAGCCCAATACTATCGCCCCATTTTATAAGTAAGGAAACCAAGGCACCAGAGGTTCTGTCACTTGGAGAGGCTATGCATATCATCCTTCCTAGTTCTTAATACCCACCACACTGTGTCTTCTAGGTGTTCCAGATGATTCTGAGTCTCATTGCAGTGTATGGATGTGTGGATGTGTCCAGGCACTAATAAGGAAGAATCATTTCTGCACCTGAGTGTGAATGCGGGGGTTAGTGGAGGACCCAAGCTCAGGCACTCACCTATGTGCTGGATGATCCCACTGACGGTGGGCTGAAAGAGCTCGTTCATGGCCTCGCAAGACATCCTGAGCATCCCCTGTGAGGACCACTTCACGAAGTTCACGCTGTTGATGAAGGGGGGGCACAGGCTCATGGGTCAGGGTCCAGGGTTCTTCCAGGGTTCCTGGAAGGCCAGTGTGGCTGGGTACTGACTGCAAATTGTGTGTTCTTTCAACCCCACTCCCTCAGGGGCTTTAGCAGCCCGCCTGCGTTCCAGGCATGAAGTCCCAGGAGAGGAGCCCCTCTTTGCTTCTGGGCAGAGGAACAAAGGCACACTGCCTGCTACGGGGTGTGTGTTTGTGTGTGGCTGTCGAGGTGGGTGTGGTGCAAGGAGAAAGTTACTGGCCCTTCCCCCAGGCTCAAGATTTGTGCCCCAGTTGGCACCCGGGTTCTAGCGGACTCTAGCTGGGATGCTCATGCCCTCCGCCTGCCGTCGGCTGGCAAGAGATGTGCACAGGGCAGATGGGCTGGATTCCCACTGTCCTCTGGGACCCACATCCTCCCTTGCAGGGGCTTTCCCCAGCAGCAAACCCTGGTTTGAGTCCGTGGCCCCCGGGGCCCACCTGCTGCGGCGAAGGGCTGTCTCCACGTTGTGCCCTCGCTGCTTGCGGTAGAAGTCGATGAAGGAGAAAGGCAGTGAGATGTTGAGCGCCCCTGCACGGTGCGGGCCTGCCGTGCGTTTGCGGGCCTCGAAGGCGATGGTCAGATCCACCCAGGCTGCCGGCCGTTGCCTTTTGAAGGTGGTGATGAAATCCTCGCCGAAGATGCGGCCCAGCAGCTGCTCAAAGGCCAGGTCCACGCCCACCGCGCCATAGGGGCCGCCTGGGGTCGGGCAGGGGAGAAAGGGGACGTCGGCGCAGACTCCGCCGCCAGAGGGCGGTGGCAGGGCCCGCGAGCGCTGAGTACCCAGCGTGCTGCCTGGCTGGCTACTCACCGGATGCCTTGTAGAGTTCCTTGAGGGTGCCATGTGGCTGCTCCAGCTGGTGCACGGTCAGGTCCACCGTGCCTCCTCCGCAGTCTGCCACCACGTAGCGGTCTCCTGTGGCGGCGAGCGTGAGCACACACTCCTGGTCTGCTTTGCACCCTCAGCTCTGCTCCCCTTCCAGATTCACCAGCCCCCAGCCCTGCCCCACACCAGAGACCCTTGCCTGCGGGGAGGATGGGAGTAGGAGTGGCTGTAAGGGGCTTCAGGTAGTTGAAACTTAGGCCACCGGGAAGGGGTGCAAGGGTTTTGGGGAAAATGTTTCCAGGACTCTATCCGCAGAGAATCCCACGGAGAAGTGGGAGTTAGGGGCGAGTCTGAGTGACATGGAGGTGCAGGTGACCATGGGGAGACTACCAGGTTAGGTGCAGCTGATGGAGGAGTAGGGGCAGGGTTTCTAGGGTCTGGAACCCACTTCAAGAAGGTTGCCTTGCCCCTACGGTTCCCCTCAGGGCCCAAGAAACATCCCTCTGTCCCCCCACCTGCTTGCATCTCTGCCCACAGCTCTCCAACACCAGACTCCACCAGGAATGTACGGCTGTGGCGGGACTTGCGCAGCTGCTCGCGGGCTGGGGTTGGGGGGGCGGGGAGGGACAGCAGGACAGTGGGGTTAGAGGGAGGTGCCTCAGCTACCAACCTTGACCCCCATCCTCCCACCAGTACCCTCCATGAGTATCTGGACCAGCCAGTTCTCCTGAAACTCCTGCTCTACTACTTCTAACTAGGAGAAGGCATTGTTGAACCTCAGAGGGTCCAGAAAAACCTGATGGGGTAACCAACAGCTGAGGGGAAGTTTTTCTGGCTACAGTACATTCCCTTAACGCTGGCAGGCTTGAGGCATGGCAAAATCAGGGTTGGGACAGTTTGGAGGACCTGTGTGTAGCTGGGGGAGGTGGGGAGAGGTTGGTCCTGGGTGATCCAGGGGAGCCTAGCGTTAGGGACCTCTCCTACTTACAGGAGATGGTATCTGGGAGAGTGACTAAGATTGACCATAGCTGTCTCAGGGCCCAGTCCAGGGACACTGGAGCTGGAGCTTGGTAGCAGGAGCTCAAGGCTATTGTGGAGGAAGGGGAATGACAGCTGATGTGCCAGGATGCTAGAGGCGGCTGATTCAGTGGCTATTTAAGACAAAACTCTTAGAGACCACCTTTGGCTCAGAATGGGAGCTGACTTCCTCATTGTCAGTACCTGAGTACCTCCCCTCAG